GATGCGCAAAAAAATTCTGCATCGAATGGTGTATTTTTTAGGATGCAGCCAGTTTTCCATCATGTCGAAAAATTTGATATACTAAGCCTCAGGTACAAAAATTCGAAAGTTGCAAATATAAAAAACGTTGCCTGGTTTCTAGAGACGAAATCAGACCGATCGCAAAAAGAGCAAAAAGAAATTCTGCTTCTGAGAGGGGGCTGGGATTGAACTCGGGTCGTTCGCGTGGGACCTGGCGGCGCCCACTAGTCCCCGTCCCCCGTGCCCCCCCAGGCGGACCATCGCGGGTTCGATCCCCGCAAATCGCCAGTTCCGCGTAGGAAGGGAATTTCTTTTTGCTTTTTTTGTTTTTGGTTTTGGCTAGTTTTTATATGGGGCTCTATTTACTTATGTTGACAAAGAAGTTTTCTTATACATTTTGAGATGGTTTCTCTCGATTCTAGAAAAACTAATTTTTCGACATGATGGAAAACTGGCTGCATCCTAAAAAATACACCATTCGATGCAGAATTTTTTTGCGCATCTTTTGATATAACTTTCAGCTTACAGCAAACTTTCCATCATGACGAAAACCCGGAAAAACTGTTTTGACTACACGATATTCCTATGTTCCGGTCATTTTCGTGCTTCGCAATGTATTACAAAAATGATCAGCGCCTCAAATTAGGTATTGTCCCGAGGTATCATGCAGATCCGCCTAGTGAGCTCCGAGATAGTTTTTCGGGGTACGCAACTTTAGCGGCCATTTAAGCCCCAAAATTAAACTTTTTAAACTTTCAAAACTATGCAGCCCTACTAATTCGACCATGCTCTTTCAAATGGCGTCGAAAAAACGGGGTCGAAAAAAACTGTGCCAAGCCTTGTTCGGATGACTCGCAAACGGCCTTTTAAGAATCAAAATTCTCAGAATAGTGGGTGTTAAAAATCGGACAGGCATCCGGCAGACCCAGCCACATTTTCAGGGTCGAACCTCGAGAGTAGGGTGGAAAAAGTGGGCCAGGCGAGAGAGTGAGAGTGAGAGCGGGAGCGAGAGAGAGAGAGAGAGAGAGAGAGAGAGAGAGAGAGAGAGAGAGAGAGAGAACCCGAGCGGGTCCGGGAAGTTGAGATGGATACTGATTCTCGACTCAAATATTTGCACTCATACCGAGGCAGACACAAACACAGCAAAGAAGGGGTGACCTGGATGGACGGATAGCTCAGAAGATACCTCAAAGAGGTAAGTTCCAGCGTTACAGTTCTTCTGTTAAATTTTATACGCTAGCCTAGGCCAGCCCTAATGTAAGCCTAAGCCAAGCCTAAGTCAAGTCAAGTCTAAGCCAAGCCTCGGTCAAGCTTAAGCCAAGCCAAGCCAAGCTTAAACCTAAAAGCACAGTTCGTCGAAAAGTCAAGGAATAGGTAAAATTCTTGGCATACAGCAAATTCTAACGACCTCTGCCATGCCGTCATTTGGCCGGGCGCGGAGCGTACAGGCACTTTTTGAGGGAATTCACACTGTGCACGCCGAGCCGCGCCGAGATGAATAATGATGCTCCCGGAGGGGAAGTAGAGGATGAGAGGAAGGATGGTATCCAAGGACAACCCCCATGTCTCGTCGGCTAGATCTTTATCCCCTGGCCGCTATGTAGACACCGGAGGGGAACTGCATGTTTTTTATAGTCTAGCTGCAGTTTTTGAAGCGGCGGCACGGAGTAGAAAGTTGAAAAATGGGGCGAGAGGGGGGGGGGAGAGGGAGGGCGAGAGAGAGCGAGAGAAAGCGAGAGCGTGAGACGGCAAGAGAGCGAGAGAAGGTGAGATAGACAGATGGAGAGCGATAGAAAGCGAGAGAAAGCGAGAGAACACGAGGCAGAGAGAGGGAGAGAGAGGGAGAGAGAGAGAAAGATAGTTGGAGTTAGAGAGCACGAAGTTCACCATGAATAAATTTTCGTAATTTTAGAAATCTAAAGTCTCTCGCTTAATATGAATAGCAAAGAAAATTCCATGTAAACCGTTTTTAAGCTTCGTAAAAACCATGAACTCCTCTGGAAGCTTTGCAAAACTTTAGTTTCTGGGCCGTCACTAGCAAAAACTAGCTACTCCTCCGGATAGCCACGAAATTGGATTGTACACCATCCATTAGCACCCCCATCTCCTCTCTCCGACCCGGTGCACAACGGAATGGTACCCCCAAAAACGCGTCTAATGGTGTACGGGGGCGTACAGTTTCGTACAGTGCGTCGAGTGTCTGGTGGGTCGAGTTCTCTTTTCCGTGTCCCGGGGGTATGAGGCTTTTTGTGGATGGGGTGTGAATGGGGCGATTATCACCCCACTATACCATGGGAATATAGGAGAAACCGGGTGGGGGGAGTTGGAGACTGTGCATTGTAGTGGTGCGGAACTAGTAGCGGGGATAGTCGTAAATTTGCATAAATGGAAGAAAGAAAATGGGGAGAGAGCAGCGAAAATAGAGACAGCTAGATAGAAAGAGAGAGAGAGAGAGAGAGAGAGAGAGAGAGAGAACTTGGGAGAGAAAGAGAGCGAGCATCAGATGGATGGAGGGACAAAAAAACTGAATTTTGCGGAAAAAACCCTAATTAGCAAAAAAAAACCGAAAAATTAGCAATTGGAAGCACCAGTATTTCGTTAGTTTCAAACCCCAGAAATCCGCGATTAAAAAATGTCGTAAACCGCAAGAACTTATTTTAAAAATGTCGTGATTGTGGTCTCTGTGTCTCCTCTCTTACCAGCTGTGTCTATCACTCTCTGGTTTTCTCCCTCACTCTCTCTCTCTCTCGCTCTCTCTCTATCTATCTCTCTCCCTCTCTTTCTCTCACTCTCTCCTTCTCACGCTCTCACGCTCCGTCTCTTGTCTTCCAAATCCTTTTAAGAGCCCAACTTTCAAACCCAAAAAATCCCGGTTTTTCCGGGTAAGAATGATGGCCCAAATCGCCACGAGACCCAGCGCCAGGACAGAATAAATCTGTTCGCCGGCAAAATATGGGCCCTCTTTCCGGAACTCCCGTTTTGGGGGGCCCAGGAGGGCAAATTGGGGCCAATTTCCTCGATTCTGGCCGGCCACTCTCTGATGGGGCCATCGTTTTTTGGAGGGCGTGGGGGCCCAAATCGGATTCTCAAAAATTTTAGGCCCGGACACCAGGAAGGGCGAAGGAATAAAAAAGTTGCCGGGGGTCACGGGATCCGGAGCGTTCCGGAATTTTTGGATGGGGTTCGGAGATCAGAATACGGTGACAGAGAGAGCGAGGGAGAGAGAGAGAGAGAGAGAGAGAGAGAGAGAGAGAGAGAGAGAGAGAGAAAGAGAGAAAGAGAGAGAGATAGAGAAATAGCGAGAATACGAAAGAGTAAAGAATAAATAATAAAAAGTTACTTACCTTTTTGACAAATCGGAGGCTTGTGGCGCATCGAGTTAAAATGGCCTAAATGATAGGCTGAAGCTGGGGAGTGAGAAAAGGAGAGCGCGAAAGAGAGAGAGACAGAGAGAGAGAAGAGAGAGAGGGCGAGAGAGAGCGGGAGAGAGAGAAAGAGATAGAGAGAGAGATAACGAGAATAGAAGCACTTTTTAGCCAATAGTAAATAGCACTTTAGCTGTTTAGGCGCTTGGGGGGCCGAACTCGTTAGCGAGCTATCAACTTTCAGCATTTCCTCAACAATGCCTTGTTTTTGCCAAAGCGAACGCGACAGTACTATTGACACCTCTCACTGAGCGCACGGCTCCTCAAAGGATCACTGCTAGCTTGCCCTGTTCTTTTTGTTTTACAAAAGAAGCGGAAGCCAAGGGCTCAAAGGGATTCTGCTAGCTTGCCCAGTTTCGACACCTCCAAAATCTGAAATTTTCTTAATTTTTTTATAAAAAAACACGGTTCGTGTCCAAATGGGGTCTGCTAGCCTACCTCACCTCAGCAAACCAGAAATTTCTTTTAAGCCTGAAAAGTAGAGAATTTTGCGATATTTCGAGCGATTCCTAAATGGCGTTTGCCAGCCGGCCGATTTAGCGCCTTCGACAAAAAAAGACCCGGGCAGGAAATGGAACCTAAAAAAACTGAGCGTAAAGGAGCGTAAAAAGGCGCTAAACGGAGCGCAGTGTAGTGAACGGGCCCGGGGAGAGTGAGCTCTGGCTTAAGGGCCATTTCAGCTGATGTTCACACTCGGCTTGTGAGCGAGGGAGGGGCAGCCAAGGCTCAGTGTATGTGTGTTATGTCTGTCTCTCTGTCCGAGTCTCGGTTTACAGCCTCTCTCTATCTCCATCTCTCTCTCTCGCCGGCTGGAACTTGGGTCGAGGCTTACCGGGGAGGTTGAGCTAGGGGTCAGCTGCCTCAAATTGTCTCTCTCTTTCTTTCAGCCGTTCCATCTCGATACTATCAACCCACACCCTCTTCCCGGGACAACCGCCCATCAATTCTGGCCACTGACCCCCAGGGCTAGAGGGCCAAGCCGGTAGGTACTTGGCTTGCTTTTGCCTCAGCTTGGCTTAGTCTCCGCTGAGACCTTGCTTAGGCTTGACTTAGTTTTGGCTTAGGTTGGGCTTAGGCTTTCAAAACTTTTTCTCTAGCATCCATACTTTTGAACATAAGAAGCGTTTTTAATATTCCTAAACCTCACGCTAAAACTTCACAAATACTAAAAACTACAAAAAATATTGATTTTTCGACCCGAAATGGCCGATTTTCGACAAAAGCGTCGTCTTTCTAAAAAATGTGCAAATTTTTTCGATAGTATATACACAAATTTGACTAAAAACCCGATTAAAACGCATTTCGTTTAGATCCGTTTATTGAGCGAAGAGACGTGGGCAAAATACATACAAAAATAGACAGCGGCGAGTACGAGGGGGGAGTTACAGATCGAGGGGGAGGGGGCTCTACACCTTATTGCTCATCTCTAAATTGAACACAGATCGACGGATTCATCATTCAGTCTAATTCATTAAAAAAGGAGGGTGATGGTGGGGGAGGGGGAGGGGTGGATCGTGTGGATGGTTGGCGGCCGGATTGGTGTTGTTGGGTTCAGTGGCCTCCGCTGCGGGCCGAGCGGGCTGAGCGGCGTTGGCGCACGTTCTCCTTCGAGCCCTGGGTCGCCGCCGATTCTGAAAATATCAAAAAAGTTGGTAGGTAGGATTGGATGGCGAGGGTGAGAGAGAGAGAGGGAGGGGGAGAGAGAGAGAGAGAGAGAGAGAGAGAGAGAGAGAGAGCGAACACTACAAATTTTTTAGGTCCCGCTAACAGCCCAGTACCGCAAAAATCTCACCTCTGCTTTTGCCCGATCGCTGCGTCATGCTGATCGGCACCGTCGCCGAGGGAGCTGTCGGCCCTAAGAACTCACTCGTGCCAAAAAAGGTGTAACTTACTCGTGCGTACGAGCGTCTCCTGTGTGCGCGACTCCTTGCTGCGCAGCAGGGGCTCACGCGATTTCTTCGGAGACTTGCCGAACGAGGCGGGCGTTCGGGTCTTGGGGGCGCCCTTACCCAGTCCGCCGTCGTCGCTGGTGCGTGACTGTGGGTCGTGGGTGCGGCTCTCGTCGGCGCCGGTCGTGCCTAAAGTTCTTTAGTGTTTACGGTTCTTTAATGATGTAACGTAAAGGTATAGCGTGCGTAGTAAAAAAACGTACCGGCAATCTTGTCGAACGAGTCGCCCGTCTTGTCCTTCAGCTTGCTCTCGCGCGACTTCTCATCTTTGACAGCAGCAGCCGGCTGGGCTGGGGCTGGGGCCGCTTTCGAGGCGGGCGACTTTTTCGGCGAGGGCAGAGCGACGGGCGCGACGGGGGCGGGGGCGGCAACGGCAACAATAGCCTTCTTCTGCTTCCGGGCGCGCTTCGACGGGGTCTCATTGCCTCCTTCCACCTCGGTCTCATGCGTCTTCTGGTTGACCTCTTCGGTGCGTTGGCGTTTCTGAAAAATGAAAAATCATGAAAGCCGGAGTTATTGCCTGGACCAGCGGCTCCATGCTCGAATCGATGCGCAGACTGGGTTCGGGGGCCTCCGAGGAGATGAGCTGCTCCTTGAGCTCGCGCAGCCGTTCGCGCATCGAGTTGCTGCGACGTGTCTGGAAATTCAAGAAAGTATATAAAAGTTCCATAACTAGGTAGAAAAACGTAAAGTAAGCTTGGGAAGTTGTATTCCTATAAAGGCAGAAGCAAAGGTAGAAAAAAAAAATAGAAAATTTGGTTCTGCTCTGTTAGCGGGGGCTCACGGGGGAAGCTATCCAAAAAAAATCAAAAATGTCACTAAAATTAAATTTTTTCAACAGTTTATGATTTTTGACAAGCTTTTCTAACTTTTCTAAACCGCAAAATAAGTCCCATAGAAGGGTATATTGCATTATTCTGACCATCCGGAGCTAACAGTCTTAAGTCCTCCCCCGCTAACAGTCTAGTACCGAAAAACGTAGAAATTTACCAAAAAAAAAAACGAAAAATACAAAATACAACGTACCGCTGCTTCTCCAACGACGCCCATTCCAGATTCGGTCTTCCGCAGCCTCCACGGCACCTTCTCGTCCAGCGGCAGTCCGACGAGCGGGGACGCGTCGAAATCGTCTGAAAAAGAAAAACCTCCTCGCAACTCAAAACACTCACAATCCTGCATCCGGTTGACAAACTCGCGCTCCGATTTGACGGTGGCGAGCGCGACATTAATCTCCTAAGAATTGTCCAGGTTTTCGATCTTCGAAAACTGATACCTTAAACATTGGCACCATGTCCTTGTCCTGGAAGCCGACGCGGTCCAGCGTTTGGCTCAGGCGGACAATCTAAAAACAACAATTTCTTTGACAAAATACAAAACCAAACTTACATTTGATGTAATTGCGTAGTAGGGCTCGAGCTGGTCGTGCTTGACGCGCTGGTAGATGTGGATCGAGAGGAGCAGCGAGAACAGCATGAAAACTGCAATAAACGTGTGAAATAAACCATGACCACGTAAAACTGACCAAAAAGGAGCAGCAGAGCAATGCCGAGGAACGAGCGGAAGATTATCGGCTCAAGGATCACCGGTCTCGGCTCCCAGCGCGTCAGATTTTTGCTGAAAGGTTCAAACTGATATTTTTTTTCGCAAAAATTTTTTATTTTGAAAAAATTCTTTCGCATTATCGGGAAGGGGGCGGCAAATTTTTTATAAGCCTAGAAATTCCTAATAACTTAAAAGTAAGCGTTTTTGGTAAAATTTAGCGCTTAGTCAATCAAAAAAAGCCACATTTTTTGCCTTTTTTAATGAACAATTTTAGTTCTTACACTTCGGCATAGAAATTAACGGTTTAGAAACAGTGCCTCAATTTACATTAGCAAAATTGCCCCCCCCCCCCCCGATAATGCGCAAGAACCTAGAAACTTACCCCGCGCACAATACCACCGTCCTGTCGTCACATGCCAGCTGGTAGTGCCAGTAGTCACATTGCGGCTCCACGCAACCCGGCTGGCAGCTGTAGTAGGCCTAAAATTACGGTGAAATATAACAATCCATTATAAGCCTAATAATTGCGCCCGTAAAAACCAACCAAGCTCACACAATCCCCGGCCAGCCTCGACTCCATCCCGGTCATGTTGTACGTGATCGGGCGCCCGTCAGCCCACCGGTATTCGTCCTAACAAGGGCAAAGTTATCGAAGCAATCAAAGTGTCGTTTATATAACCTTGGTACGTAAATAAATACCTTTTTGATGCCAAGGTAGAGCAGCGTGCTGGTCATATTGGCTGGGGGCGGCGGCTTCACCGTGTCGTCCTGACATTTTTCGGCGAGACCGGCTGAAAAAAAAGTGAATCTTGGAAGCTTAAAAGCCTTTCAAGCTTCGCCAGCTTTAGAAGCTTAAAAGACTTCAAAGGTACGAAAAAAATTCCAAAAAATATTACCTTTCTGTACGGCATAGTGGATGTCTTCGACGCCGTCCAGCGACAGAAGCCCGTACTTGCACGCCGCTTTCTTGTCAGTGAACGCGAGGTCCGCATCGATTTTCTAAACGGTAAATTAAGAAAATCGGAATAAAAACGTCGAAAAACAGGAGAAGGGAGACGAACCACAAATTCGCGGAGTGCGGAGAGCGAAGGGGAATAGATTAGGAGGATGAGGGCGAGGAGAAGCCGCATCGAGCCCAGGAAACGGAAGGAGAAAGAGCTTTTCGAGCCGAAATATTTCAAACGCCGGATCTTTAAAAATGCTAATGTGGTATAAAAATTTGAGGCGAACGCGCCGAGCCTAAACGAAAAAAAAAACATGGAAAACCCGAGAAAACTAAAAAAAAGATAGAAAAAACAAGGGAAATTCCGTTTATTCCGATATCGATAACGGTAATCCAAAAAATGATCTTTGACAGGAATATCTGAGTTTTTTTTGTGCGTGTTGTGGAGCCGAGGGAGTCCGAGCTTTTCTATTCCTCCTTCTGACCGCCCGGGCGCTTCTCGGCGGCCTTCTCGGGCTTCTCGGGCTTCTCCGCCGGGGTTTTGGCCAATTTCTCTAAAAGTTTTTAGTTTTCCTGATTTTGGCCCGCTGTAAAAGCCTGCCTTTCGAACCGCTCGCCTTTGGATTGGGCACCTTGGAGCCCTTCTGGTTGGCCTAAAAGGCAAAAAAAAAACGTAAAATCCGCAAAAATAAAAGGCAAAGTCGTACTTTTCCGGGCGAATCCATTAGCGATTCGATTGGCTCCGATTTTTCCGACTTTGACTTTTCCGGTTTCTGAAAGGGGTGGTTAGCTAAAACGCCTGATTTTGGGCAGAAAAGGCCCAAAACTTACGACTGGCGAGGGCAGGCGACGGATCAGTGTTTGTTGCTTCGAGTCCTAGGCAGAGAAAATCGATAAATTATCGAAAATCGATAAATCGAAGCGGACCTTCATAAAAATCACACTACCTCATCGGCGAGCTGCACCTTGGCCGCCTTGCCCAGCCTCCAGCCGATGCGCTGATCGAGCGGCACCTCGCAGAGGGGCGACCCGGTGAAATGCTCTGTAAAAAATGACAATTTTATTAAAATTGAGTTGAAAAGCTTTTTTATAAAACCAAATAATTCCTACCATCCATAGCAAAATTCACGGCTTCACGCTCGGCCCACACTCCCTCCAGCGTGACGCTCTTGATCTGCTTGACCATGCCGTCCAGCTGCGGCTCCGGAATGGCCGCGGCGTCGACGGCACGGCTCAACTCGACAATCTTAAAGTTTTAAAGCTTAATGTAACTTTACTTAAACTTTATTTTACATTAGAACTTAATCTACTCATTTAACTCAAAAAATTTGGAGCTATTGATGTTTGGGGGGGGCATCTTTTTTTGGGGGCTTTTTCTGGCCTAAGCTTGTCTCAAAGCCTAAGCTAACCAAGCCAAGCCCAGCCTAAGCCAAACCTAAGCCGAGCCTAGGCTTAAGCCCAAGTCTAAGCTAATCCTAAGCTAGCTCTAGGCTAAGTCTAAGCCAAGGCTAGGCGAAACCTAATGTAAGCCTACACTAAGCCTAAGCTAAGCCAAAACCAAGCATAGGCCTAAGCTAAACTTAAGCCTAAGCCAAGCGTAGGCATAAGCTAAGTCTAAGCCAAGGGTACGCAAAGTTAAAGCTAAGCCTAAGCTTCGACCCAGGCCACCAAAAAAAAATGCCCCCCCCCCAAACATCAATAGCTCCAAAAATTTTCGGCGAACGGCTTACCGTTGACGAAATTGCGTAGAAGCGCCCGAGCAGCTCGTAGTGCACATTGATGTACAGGTAGATGACCACGGTGAGCATCAACAGGCCGGCTACTGCAAGGTAAAATGGATTCTCAGAGTGTTGTGGTGCTAGCTTGCACCACAACACAGAGTTTCTGGAGTTTCCTACTCCAGCTAATAAAGCAGGCGAAGCGTAGATTGGGCTGAAACACGCGCACGTCGAGGTGCACCGTGTCCGAGAAGGACCAGGCGCTGATTCTAAAACCAATAACGTAAAAAAATTTTCTATGACTCTACCCGGAGCACAGGACGCTGATATGCACATCCTCCACCGGGCACCGGGCCCGGAAATGCCACGTATCAGTGTCTCCTAGGCAGCCTTTCTTGCGCTGACGATAAACCTAAAATCGTAGTTTTTTTGCTTTCGCAAAATCACAAAAACTCGTAGAATAAAAGTTTTAAACGGCATTGTCTATATTTGAAGTCAAAACCCTGCTTAGAAAGCTCAGAAATTGCCAAAAAAAAGGTAACATCTGGGTTGAAAATCGGGATCTTTGGCCTTATCAGGGGGAACCAACTTTTTTTGGCTTTAGATCCTGTTGCGGAAGCAAGAAAAGAAAGTCTTTTGATTCAATTACGCGATGCCTGTACGGCGCACCCCTTTGCACTACGCCCTGTGTGCGCCCTCCCCGTTCCCCGGCACAACCCCATTTTTGTGCGTGTCTTTTTCATTCTTTCCACTCCGCCCGTCTTGTCTGGCTGCTTGTATTATTTTAGGCTATTGCCGTTATCGTAAATAAACTTTGTTCTCTCTTCTTTCGTCCAAATCAATTCAGGTGTCAAACGACTCTCTCGCAAGGTATCCCCTTGGATTGAGCCAGCACTCAAGAACTCACGCACACCCACACCTACAACAATTGGCGATCAAGGATTCGAGCCCGAATTGAAGAATGGCCGACGACCCCGAGCTCAAGGACGTGCTGAAGCAGCTCGCCGCCGCGAACCAGCAGATGACCGCTGTCATGGTCGCCGGGCAAGAGCGAGAAGCCAAGCTCATGGCTGAGCTCGAGCGGATCCGCGCCGAGGTCCAAACGCACACGGACTCGGTTAGCGAAGATTCAAGCCAAAGCCAAAGGCCTCTGAATGCAGTCGAGTTGGGCGCTCTAGCCACTCGCATAAGTCGATTCGAGTATGACCCGTCCCAGGGGATTACGTTCGAAAAATGGCATGAGCGGTTCACAAACCTCATCGCCACCGAATCGCGCATCTCGGAGGAGAACAAAAAGCATCTTGTTCTCGGGATGTTGGATGCCAAATCCTATGGCTTGCTGGCGGATCATGCTCGACCCAAAGAGCTGGCCTCCATCGCATACGACGACATCGTCAAGCATTTGACTGAGATGTTTGGAGAAAAGCTGTCGCTTTTCAGTCGACGTTTCCTCGCCTTTCGCGTAGCGAAAGAGCACGATGAGGATATGCGATCCTACGCCGCTCGCGTCAACAAACTATACGAGCAAGGTCGCGTCAAGGAAATGAAGGAAGATGAAGAAAAGTGTTTACTTTTCGTTGCTGGACTGTCAGACCAGGCACATCGCGACATCCGCAAGAAATTGATCCGTATTCTTGAGTCAAAGAATGACGTGAAACTGGATGATCTGCTGCGCGAGTGTGACCTGCAGACGAGCCTGAACATGGATGTTGTGGTCGAACAGCATGCCAATGTGAATCGTATCCAGCAGTCGGGATACCGAAAGACTTGGAACAAGGGCCCAAAGCCTACCTCTAGCAATGGTGGTCCAAAGCCTTGTGATACCAATGATCGGCCCCGTGGAGACAAGCGAAATGATGTGTGTCATCATTGTGGAAAACGAGGACACTGGGCAAATGAGTGTCGCTCAGATTCTGGAAACCGTGGAGGTAATTTTTCCAAGCAAGGAAAACAAAACCACCGAAACAAGGACTGGAAACCGAAGGTGAACCAGATTGTGCAAATCAACGCCATTGATTCAACGCGCAAGGACGTTGAAATCTCAATCGAAAACATCCGTTTTACGCTGCAATTGGATACTGGCGCTGCAGTAACTATTATTGACGAGGCTGTGTGGCATCAATTGAATTGCCCACCACTTACGCCGTCCGATATTCAACTACGTGCTGCCAACGGTAGTCGAATTGACGTGAAAGGACTGTTTGAAACCCGCTTTCAAGTGAAAGGCATTGAGGGACATGGTCGTTGCTTTGTCACCAAAGACATTCGGTTGATGGGGCTGGATTGGATCAATCAGCTGCCACAATTCGCATCCTGTTTCGATGAATTGTGTGTCAATAAGGTTCAAGTAAAGCAATCAAAGCTGGAAAAGGAACTTGTTGAGAAATACCCGAGTGTATTTTCGGATGGTCTAGGCTTATGCACTGTTGCTAAGGCTGAGTTGCAGCTCAAAGCCGATGCACAGCCAATATTTCTGCCATTCCGACGCGTCGCATTCTCGATGGAATCAGCCATTGAAAAGGAAATTGAACGTCTCGTTGATTTGACTGTTTTGAAACCGGTCACTTACAGCGAATGGGCGGCTCCGGTCGTTCCAGTCAAGAAGAAGGACGGTTCATTGCGACTTTGCGGTGATTTTTCTACCGGCTTGAATGATGCGTTGCAAGATTACCATCATCCTCTTCCCACAGCGGAAGAAATTTTCACCAAGCTCAACGGTGGACAAGTTTTTTCCCAGATTGACTTGAAGGATGCTTATTTACAAGTCGAGGTTGAGGCTTCTAGCCAAGAATACCTGACAATCAACACACACAAGGGACTTTACCAGTATCAAAGACTGATATTCGGTGTGAAAACAGCCCCCGGTATTTTCCAGAAAATTGTGGATAATTTGATCGCAGGCTTGGACGGTACCGCTGCCTACCTGGATGATCTGTTGATCACCGGCCGGAACCAGGAGGAGCATGACGACAGGGTACGTCAGTTGTTTGAGCGAATCGAAAAGTACGGATTGCGCGTCAAAATGGAAAAGTGCACGTTCGGCCAGGCTTCGGTAAAATATCTTGGCTTCATTCTCGATGCCCAAGGCCGAAGACCCGATGGCGAACGCACGGCTGCGATAGCAAATATGCCACGACCTACCTGCCTCAAAGAAGTTGAAAGCTTTTTGGGCATGGTTTCGTTCTACCAGTCTTTTATTCCTCGTATGCGACAGTTGCGCGCCCCGCTTGACGAGTTGAAGAGAAAAGACGCAAAGTTTCTCTGGCGTGAGGACTGTGAAAGAGCGTTCCAGTCGCTCAAGGAAATTGTAATTTCCGATTTGTTACTCTGTCATTATGACGCCAAGTTGCCGATCGTCGTCGCCGCTGATGCCAGTGAGCAAGGCCTTGGGGCAGTCATTACCCACCGATTCGCTGATGGAACTGAAAAAGCAATCGCACATGCTAGCAGAGCATTGACTGTGGCAGAGAAGAACTATAGCCAGATTGAAAAAGAAGGCTTAGCCCTCGTATTCGCAATTCGGCGCTTCCACAGATACATCTACGGAAGGCGTTTTGTATTACTGACGGATCATAAGCCCCTTTTACCAATATACGGGTCGAAAAAAGGAATCCCACAACACACCGCAAACCGTTTGCAAAGGTGGTGTTTGCAATTGAACAACTACGATTTTTCTATTGAATATCGTAACACGACCAAGTTTGGTCAAGCGGATGCCCTTTCCCGTCTGATTCCGCCAAAATCGGATCCTGAAGAAGATGTCGTGATTTCGCAGATAGAAATCGACATTTCAGCCGTTTTTGAGGATAAATTGAGCCAAATCCCAGTTTCACACAAGGAAATTGCTGAGCAAACTGAACAGGATTATTCACTCAGCGATGTGATTGACTCTCTGAAAAGTGGTTCTTTTCCAGACTGTTTGCCAGGCTCGTCGTTGTACGCCTACAAAAGTCTTGTAAATAACTTGTCAATTCACCGAGGCTGTTTGTTTCTGAAAGAGCGAGTTGTTGTGCCGAAAAGGCTACAATCGCGAATCCTGAAAATGCTTCATGAAGGTCACCCGGGCCAAACGAGAATGAAATTGCTCGCAAAGCAATATGTGTACTGGATTGGCATGGATTCAGACATCGATCGCATCGTGAAAGAATGCGAAGGCTGTCAGAAAGCCCAGAAGATGCCTGTAAAAAGTGAATTGACTCCCTGGCCTACCCCAAATCGTCCAATGGAGCGCGTGCATATTGATTATGCCGGTCCGATTGATCAAAAAATGTATTTGATCGTTGTCGACGCTTACTCAAGATGGCCTGAAATCTTTGAGTGTAAGGTGGCAACAAGCCGAGTGACGATTGCCCAGTTGAGAGATGTTTTCTCGAGGTTCGGAGATCCGGAAACGCTCGTTTCGGATAACGGAACTCAATTCACTTCCAAGGAGTTTGAAGATTTCTGTAAGGAACGTGGAATTACCCATATTCGCACGCCGCCGTTCCATCCCCAGTCGAACGGATTGGCCGAACGTTTCGTCGATACCTTCAAGCGCGCTTTGAGCAAAGCCGCTGGTACGACTAACGCTGAAACTTTGCAAATTTTTCTGCGAACTTATCGGTCCACCCCTTGCCCATCTTCACCAGAACAGCTATCTCCGGCTGAAAGGTTTATCGGGAGAAAGCTTGTTACTCCCATTGCTCGCTTGCGTCTACCTCAGAGCAACAGCAATTCTTGTGCGAATCTCATCTTTCCGAAGGGGGAGAAGATGAAGATGGTTGAACAGTACAACCGGAAGCACGGCGCAAAGAAGCGTTCCTACGAAATCGACCAGACCGTCTGGGTTCGAGATTATAAAATACCTAGCAAACCTATCTGGGTAGAAGGACGTATTTCTAAATTGTGTGGAAAGTCCATGTACGAGGTTGAAATTACCTCTGGAGTCATTTGGCGTCGACATGCCAACCAGCTTCGTGCTCGATTCGTTCGAGACGTGCTCGATGATATCCTGGAAGAATTTGATCTTGCCAGCGATGATAAAGTCAATGTGCAGGACACTGCTCCACCTCTTGACAAGCCTCTCGAGAAGTCAGCTGCATCATCCGCCACAACTCCTACATTGATTCCCCTTGCACCTGTTCCGAATGTTCCCCATCCCACCGCTCACCGGCCGACAACACCAATCAAGTCGCCACCGAAGTCGCATCCACGATCACCGGCAAGATCACCAGCCGTGCCGCGACGACCTCAAGTTGACCAGCCCGCGATCGTTGCTCAACAACCACAATTCGAACAACTCGATGACGTTGTTCAACAACCACAAGGACGCGACGACGAACCTGAAGTTCGTCAACAAGATCAAGCACAACCTGTGAAGAAGACAAAGAAGACTGATGCCCTTGGACCGATCCTTCACCACAAGCGCATCCGGAAGCCGCCGTCGCGATATCAAGACTGAAGTGCCGTCAACGTCGTCTCCATCAAGCTCAACTTCATCACCGAGTCAAGCTCTTCATTCAAGGAGGAAGATGTTGCGGAAGCAAGAAAAGAAAGTCTTTTGATTCAATTACGCGATGCCTGTACGGCGCACCCCTTTGCACTACGCCCTGTGTGCGCCCTCCCCGTTCCCCGGCACAACCCCATTTTTGTGCGTGTCTTTTTCATTCTTTCCACTCCGCCCGTCTTGTCTGGCTGCTTGTATTATTTTAGGCTATTGCCGTTATCGTAAATAAACTTTGTTCTCTCTTCTTTCGTCCAAATCAATTCAGGTGTCAAACGACTCTCTCGCAAGGTATCCCCTTGGATTGAGCCAGCACTCAAGAACTCACGCACACCCACACCTACAACAGATCCAGTCTTCCCAATATGAATAAGGGAAATGATTTTACACTGCTTTTTTTACTGTTACCACCCGCAAAACCTAGGCATATCTTTGAAAAAAAATTCGAGTGGAATTGGTCGATTCTCGAGCAAAATTTAGAATTTGTAAAAGTTTTTTAATGTTTTTAGATACTTCTTCTTGTTAAAATTTCGTTAAATTCTACTAAAAACACTTAATATATTAATTATTACAAGGCATTTCTGGGCTTAAGCAAAAAATTCTACCCGGATAATCCGAAAGATCCTGTTAGGTCTATCAGTTTTTTGTCTTTTTTTTTCTTTCGTAATCTGTTAGCTAGTTCAGCGAAAAGACCGATTCCAATAAAAAAAACACCTACAAGACACGTCTCCTCGCCGGTCAGCTGAAAGTGATATCCCTGGGCGGCTTCTCGATTGGCATCCTCGAGAAAGTCGTAGAACAGGGGATCGCCGTTCGACCATTCCATCGCGTCGTCGCGCAGTCCAACGTTTAGGTAGTGCGTCCCCGCGTCAGCACTTGTTGCGTCGCTAGGATTTTCACAATCCATTGGGATTCCTATGGCTAAAAAAAAACAAATTTCTAATGAGAAAAATGTATTTTACCGGCGCTGACGGCGGTGATGACATCGCCACGATCGTGCAGCGCCAAACGCCCGTGCGGGCACTTTTCCAAACGTTCGCGCAGCGGAAGCTCATTGGTAAACAGTTTCTGGAAGTCAAATACGTTTCAAACCCGGTTCTTTTGCATTATCGGGGGTGGGGAGTAACTGTCTTCTTCGTGGCCGAATTTTTTTACTATAATTAAAGCTAGCGTTTCTAAACTATTTTTTATACTATTCAAAACCTTAAAAACGACCGAAAAATCCACAAAAAAACAGAAGAATATCGATTTTTCCACCAAAAATGGTCGATTTACAACCAAAATTTCATCAGATATTTTTTGTTCTTTTTTTGCAAAAACAAATGTCAAAGCAACAAGAAACCTTATAGCATCGGCCTTGAACTGACGGCATTTGGACGCAGGCGCCAGTGTATTCCGCGGCAAGATTCGGTCGAAGCCGGAGCACCAGTAGGAGAATTACATGAAGCCCAAGCATTCGAGTTGCAGACGGCGATCCAGCTTATTGTAATTCACCTGGTGGAAAAACTGCTTCATAAAATTCAAATTATAATTAAAATAAAATTAAAATATTCAGATCTATTTTTTTCCTCTTCTTGCTTGCAGGCAAGCCTGGCCTAGGCTCGGACTCGGGCTTGGACTTGGGCTTAGGCTTTGACTCCGGCTTCGGGGATAGGCCTAAGCTTAGGCTTAGGCTTCCGGGATAGGCCTAAGCTTAGGCTTAGGCTTAGGCTTAGGCTTCGGGGATAGGCCTAAGCTTAGGCTTAGGCTTAGGCTTAGGCTTCGGGGATAGGCCTAAGCTTAGGCTTAGGCTTAGGCTTAGGCTTCGGGGGATAGGCCTAAGCTTAGGCTTAGGCTTAGGCTTAGGCTTCGGGGATAGGCCTAAGCTTAGGCTTAGGCTTAGGCTTCGGGGATAGGCCTCAGCTTAGGCTTAGGCTTAGGCTTAGGCTTCGGGGATAGGCCTAAGCTTAGGCTTCGGGGATAGGCCTAAGCTTAGGCTTAGGCTTAGGCTTCGGGGATAGGCCTAAGCTTAGGCTTAGGCTTAGGCTTAGGCTTCGGGGATATGCCTAAGCTTAGGCTTAGGCTTAGGCTTCGGGGGATAGGCCTAAGCTTAGGCTTAGGCTTAGGCTTAGGCTTCGGGGATAGGCCTAAGCTTAGGCTTAGGCTTAGGCTTAGGCTTCGGGGATAGGCCTAAGCTTGGGCTTAGGCTTAGGCTTAGGCTTCGGGGATAGGCCTAAGCTTAGGCTTAGGCTTAGGCTTAGGCTTCGGGGATAGGCCTAAGCTTGGGCTTAGGCTTAGGCTTAGGCTTCGGGGATAGGCCTAAGCTTAGGCTTAGGCTTAGGCTTAGGCTTCGGGGGATAGGCCTAAGCTTGAGGCTTAGGCTTAGGCTTAGGCTTCGGGGATAGGCCTAAGCTTAGGCTTAGGCTTAGGCTTAGGCTTCGGGGATAGGCCTAAGCTTAGGCTTAGGCTTAGGCTTAGGCTTCGGGGATAGGCCTAAGCTTAGGCTTAGGCTTAGGCTTAGGCTTCGGGGATAGGCCTAAGCTTAGGCTTAGGCTTAGGCTTCGGGGATAGGCCTAAGCTTAGGCTTAGGCTTAGGCTTAGGCCTACGCCGAAGCTCTACCAGGACACGGACAAGAGTTCCAAGCATCGACAAAGCTCGAAAGAAGCATTCCAACGACAACAAAGCATGACGAAGCCAGGTCCGCACCACAACACAACGCAACGACAAGCCGAAGACGAAGACAAGTGCAACTCTGTAGAATCAACCAGTGTGAGTGTAATATTTATTTGTGCTGTGTTTTGTGTGTTTATTGTGCAAGCAAACGTTAAAACGAATGCTTCATTGCAATAACCCTTTATTTGCCTCGTAAGAAAGCTAAAATGGGCGAAAAAGGAAAACGAGGGCTGAAGGGGCGCTTCGGTGGGTTGCGGGTGAGAGGAGGGTGTGAAGGAGGGCTGCTGCTGCTTGTCGTCGCCGTGTAGATGGTGCCGGATGTTTAGTTGGGGCCCATGTAGCACGAGACGTCAGTGCGCGGCTTGGTGACGCCGGGGGTCGACGATCCGCCCGAGCTGCCCGAGCTTCCACCGCCGCTGCCGTAGCTGCCGCCGCCGAAGGCGTAATCCTCACTGAAAAGTGAAGAGTTAAATAACGTCTTTCATGACAAGGAGCAGAAGCAGGACAAGTAGATGATCATCAACCGCATACCGAGCATAGCTGCCGCCGCCACCGCCACCTCCGCCGCCGCCGCTGTAGCCGCCAGGGGTCATGTAGGCCGATTTGTCGCCCATCTCGTGTTGATGTTGAGGTGTGGAGTTGTGTGAGAGATGCCATCCTCTGAACCCCCTTAATTTTATACTTGGAAATGCATGCAATTCGCCGGAAGTTCCGGCCTTTTTTGCCCGCAAGGCTAATCAGCTATGCAAATTTTGGGAGCTGCCAAATATTAGTTTGCGTTATTCGCGTAAATCGACACCACAATGACAAATGGCTGTTTTCAGCGTCAAGTGCAACCCGTTTATCCGTCGAGAAATGGGCGGTACACGTGCGTATCCGAGTAATCAATTCACATGCATAGCGTAGACGTACACAGACATTTTGCGATATCAAAAGAAATTCGGGGATTTGTAAGGTTGGGCGTGCGGCGAGGTGACCATATCTACGTCTTGCCGTCATGCCCCTTTTTGGGTGTCGATGGCTTCGTTCCCTCGTCTTCAATAGCTGAAACATTGGTGCGTTTTGAAAGATTGCTTTTTTGAGAATTTTTGAAATTTTTAACGGTTAAAATCTTATAAAGAGCATTACTAGCAGTTTTTGAGTATGACGTTGATAATTTTTCCAGTTATTTTCCTCATGGTTAGACTTGCCCTCTGCTGCTTCACCGCTAGGTTGAGCCCTCGCAGGCGATGGTACGAGAATTGCCGAGTCGATCTTGATACTGGCCGGCGTTTGTTCAGATTTCTAAAAATGTTTTCACAATTTTAAAGTGTGCCTTTCGAAAAGCCGAGTTTACAACCAAATGCGCACCACTGGTGGAGACGGAACGCGCTGGGGGAGAAGATTGTCGTCAGACGGTCTCTGGAAAAATTATCTAAAAGGTTAACTTTAAAAAAAGTTACGCTGTCAGCTACGTGTGCTTCGCCCGTCTTCTCCAGCTTCCACTTGAGGCCCGGATCCAGCGGTAACCCGTAGAGGGGCGAGTCGGAGAAGGCTTCTAAAGATTTCTTTTGTAGATTTCCAGGTAGTAGTAAAAAATGTTCCCGTTCGTCGAAAAAATTAGAAAATCCAAAATAAAAACACCCACCTTCCTCCAGCAATCGATTGCGTAGCTCCCGATCGGCCTGGACGATTTGCGGCGTCGTGGAGATGGCCTTGGTGAACTTGACGAGCATCTCCTGCGGCAGGCCCATCATGTCCACCGTTCGGCTCAAGCCGACAATCTGCAAAGAACACGCTCTAAAAGCAAAGAAATCTTGCTCCAAACCTTCGAGGAAATTTGGTAAAATAAGCCGAGTTGTCGCTTCTTCACGTCGATGTACAGCAAGATGACCACAGCCAGCATCCCAATAGACATTGCTGGAAAAGTTTTTTTGGTCCTGCCATTCGGACAAATCGAACCATTCGAAAAGCGCCTACATGCTGTAATGATGAGCGCGAGCCAGAGGTACGGGCTCACCCGATCCGCGTCGTAAAACATCTTCCGCGCAACAACATCAGGACCACGTCTAAAAATGGTAAAAACAAACAAAAATCTGGTACGCTTTGCAAAGTACAACCGTCGAGTCGTCACAATGGTGGTCGTAGTACCAATAATTTTCGGCGGCCATAGAAGATTCACCAAAATAGACCTAAAACTGTGTATTAGCTGTAAAAAGTTCTTTTACGATGCGCGTGCACTCGCCAACCGACTGTGGATTGAGGCCGAGCGGGCGGCTGATCATCGGATCGTGGTTTTTCCAAGTGGTTCCGTTCTGGAAAGCATGAGGTTGAATAAAATTGAAGGAAAACTGTCTGTGGGCTGTTAGCGGGGGGGCGGCAATTCGCCTATTTCTACCAAGCAAAAAAAATGCCGTTGCTAGTGTATTTTTATCGTTTTCAGTAGTTTTTGATTACGAAAAATCCTAAAAATTTCAAATAACGGCAAAAAATGCAAGGTAAGAGTCTAGAAAACCCCCCCCCCCCCCCAGCCGGCACCAACTTTTGGATCTCGGCCCCCTTTTGTGCTAGCGAGCTCTAAAGTATACCAAAATGTTCGCCGTAGTCTAATTAGTAAGACTACATTGCAGTTTAGTCGAAAAAAGTAGCGAAAAATAAAAATAAGGAAGGTAGAAAAGTTGAAAAGTCGGCTGGGGGGGGGTTTCCTAGACTTGAGCCAAATGCAATTTTTAGTCCCTTCTTTGATAGATTTTTGACCAGGAACCAACATTTTTCGCAACTTAATATTTCCGATTAACCTCCTACACTTACGGAAAAAAATTTAGTTTAACCTGATAATCCTACTATCCTACTATATATAAAAAAATAGTGTTTGTGTGTGTGTGCGTGTGTGTGCATTTGCATGCAACTTCCGTCCGTATGTTCCAGTCGTATCTCAATAGGGAGGAAGTTAAGGCTACGTATGATACGTCATTAGGTGCGTAATGGTCATGACACGACTGCACGCATATGAGATTGGTAAAAATCAGCGGTTTACGACATTAAAGGGATACCGACGGCATAGTCAATCGATTACGCGCTGGAAAGAAAATGTCTCTGCGCCTCTCCCCAGGGCGCGCTCTCTGCCCTGTTGGCTACTTGCCAATTTGTTGATGGGGGGGGATCGACACATGCCGTCCGCAGCCCTTTAAAATTAAGTTTTTGTGAAAATCTTGCCGAGCCTCTTTGTTAGGAATCAATTTACATGCACCAAGTGGAGAAAGCCTATATAATGGGGGAGAGGACGCGCTTTTCATTTTTCTGCACAGGAATTCAAGTGTTTATGCAAAGTACGAAGTATGGGGGTAAAACGGAGGAAAGAGAGAAACTGAGAAACTGAGAAACTGAGAGAAACTGGTTATGAGAGAAAAAAACAAGAATATTACCGTCTCAATGCCGAGGAAGATGTTCTTCTTGCAGACGCCGCCCCCGCAGTTATTAGGATCGCCTGTGACGAGTTGCGCCGCGCTGAAGAAGTCACGCTCCTCGTGGACGGCGAAAAGGCCGCGCGGGCAGGCATCACGACGCTCTGCGAACGTCTCGCCGACGTCGACCACCTAAGCACAACCGAAATCGCCAAAAAGCTACAAAACCAACGTGATAGATGGCACCACGGGCGAATTTTGGGACATCTTCTTGACTAGAAGCTTGTATGAAAAAGAGTAGCAGCCATCCGAGCTGTAACATACCAAACAGGCTGTATAGGGCCTTTGGGAGTTTTCCATATGCTTTCGACATTCAAATATCGGGCATTCTATCCCCAAAAAAGCATTTTTTTTGGTTTCCCAAAGTCTTTTTTTGACGTTTGAGGTTTGTTGGAAGTCGTTTTTGATGGCTCACTAGATCCTTAGGCGACCTCCCTATGCGTTTCAAGCTAAAGTATCCCTAATCAGCTTAAATTACCGATTTTTAATCCCTTTTTCGTTTTTTTTTTCACGGCTTTGGTCTTCCGGTGAGCCGAGCACGACCTCCTGCTGTTCCCAATAACATGGCTAGCGAGAAAAGACACCGTACCCGAGCCGCTAGTAAATAGCTGTGGTGATAGATCAGCCAGGCTTTCGTAACAAAAATTGGCTTGAAAAGCCCTTTCTAAAGTCTAAATCGAGTCTTTTCCTCTAGAAAAGCTGTAGAATAGATGAACATCTGAGTTCTCTACCGCCTAAGCAACCCCTCTTTACCGCCCTTTGAAGCCATGCCCAAAAAACTGGTGACCAAAAATTGACTCAGTAATTCAGGTATGTTATGTCCGATCTGAAACCACAGGGCGACAACTTGGCAATCGACGAACCGAACGACGCCAGTTTTCTGACGCAAAACCTACTTAAAAGTTTGTATATCGAGGTGATAAATAATGTAATTGTAGCCGCGAGCGACCCCTCGGCCGAATATTGCGGTCTTCTGGGATTCGATCGGGCACAGGTGAGCTTAAAATGGCGAGGAAACCCCTAAAACTTCAGATACTGATCTTTTTGTGCCTGATTGTGCTCATCGTTGTTGCTCAATTGGGGACGTACCTGTATTGGCGGCTATATTCGCCGATAATATTTGACTTTTTCGAGAAGGAGCAGCGCGATAGAGAGGCTAAAGCGGCTGGCGAAAAGGAAAACGGAGGAAGTCAGTTCTAAAATTTGGAAGCCTTTTGACTGGCTATAACATAACTAAATCTTGCATCATCAATTTCTATTCTTCTTCATCAATTCTTCTTCTTTTTTTCCCGTTCTCTGTTCATCCTGATTTGATTGTCATTTTCTTTCAGAGAGCGACTAACAAACCGCCGCGATTTGCTACCTCACGATGGACCGCTTCAAAAAATTCCTGAAGGGGAAGAAGGTGTGTCTTTGAGTCTTTTGGTCAAAATTCCGTTTAGATCGATAAACATTTCAAAAAGACTGGTGAAGGGGTACGACTGGGCGGTCCGGGCTCGGATCCATCACGACAGCCTTCGGTTCATCCCGGATCATCACAGGTAAAAGAACTTTCCAATGTTTTACTTAAATTTCAGGGAGGACACTCGGAGATTGACCGGGTTGCCGCCGCCGACATTGCTGCGCAAGCGGCTTACAAGAGAACCCTTGCAAAGGAGGAGCCCAAGACCACGTATGGACAGAAGAAAATTCAGATGCTGGTGGGTATTTGTGAAAAGCTTCAATTTCTTTTCAGGCTAGGCGAGAAATTGAAGAAGAGCGTCGCAAGCAGCAGGGTGGCCTGGAAAGTGATATGGAGAAGTGAGTATTGCGATTTTTATAGGAAAAATACGTCAAATAAGTAGCCTTAATTTATATGGTTGGATTGTGCAACTATATAATTTTCAGACTGGGCATCCAACAACCGCATCAGCCCGACGAGCGCGAATTCATCCACAGCGACGTGATCAAGGGCGTCTATTACACGTGCGACCTTATTGGCGAGGACCAGGCGATGGAGAAGAAAGAGGTCTTAATATTCTTTGGAAAAAATAACCCAGTTTAGCTCCAAAATGTCTTGGAGGAGTTCCTGCGCGAGCAGATCAAGAGCGACCCTTCGGAGACGCTGATTCCGGCCGTGATGATGCTCTACACCCTGAATAAGAAGGAGCAACGACAGATTGCCGTTGAAACTATTTGCAAATATCTTCAGGTAGCGAAATTCGGTCCGAAAAAAGTAATATGTTTCTCTAGAACATCGCCGAATTCCCCGACGAGCCAAAGTACCGGCGAATCCGACTGAGCAACAAGGCGTTCCAGGTAAATCGAGTGGATCCTTTTTACCTAGTTTTGATTCCAGGAGCGTGTGCTCAATGTGAAAGGAGGCTACGAGATTCTCACCGCCGCCGGCTTCACCGAACAACGCGATGGCGACGAGGCGTTCCTGGTCATCCCCGAGGATAAGGTATCGTTTCGCGCGCTCTCTTTCTATATCTCTCTTTCCGGATCTCGCTTTCACACAACCAATTTATTACAAGAAACCAACGGTGATAACACGTACAGTCAAAATAAGGACAGGCAAGAGATTGGGGATCACAGTCCAGAAACCCGGTGTACAACTTGAGAATAGGGAGAAGCCCGTGAACAATATAGGCGTATGAGGTCACAGATTGGGGGGAGCTAACTAACACGATCAGATCACAGGAATTATTGAGAGTCGATGGCGATGAGGTTCTTCTTGTCTTCGCCGGCTTGGAAGAGCGGAACCTCGACTTCGACGGGAGGCGGGCTGCCGTTGTGCCGGGCGACTGAAGTCGATGCAAAATCCGATGCAGCAGCCACGTTGAGCTGCTCGATGGCTAGCACCTTGTGCTTGGCGTCGGGCGTGCGTCCTTCGCAATAAGCGGCCCGGGTGCGCTTCGTCTCCGGGAAGCACTCGCGCACCAGACGCTCGAATTCGGCCTTCATCTCGTCATTGCTGGAAAGATAAATATAATGCAAGAAGAAACGAAAATTATAAAAGACTATAATACACACAAAAAGACAAATAAGTATAAAACGTACAGCTCGTCGATGACGTGGGCTCCGTTGTGGTGGGCGACGCGGATGTGGTTCTGGAGATTCTGCTTGTAGCCGTGGCAGACACCGCATTCACTGCATCTAAAACAAAAACAGTTTTTGATGATAAAAATGCTATTTTAGCAGTAATTTTCGCAGTAGCTAGAAATACTTTTTTGACGACCGAAACAAATAAAAACGAACATTTTTGACGAGAAACTTTTTACGATGTCACAATTTTGTTCGCGAAACGTCTAAATTTTTGACAGTGTGAAAAACCACAACAAAGGGTGCGAAATAGGCTTTTCCTACAAACTAAATAATAACACACCTGAAGCGCTTCATGTGCGAATGGATCATCGCGTGCATGAACTTCTTGTTCGGCCCGACGAAACGAGAGCATTTCTGGCACTTCTGCGCTTTGCCCTTCTTCAGGGCCGTCACGACGCGCGAGGACACCGTTTGCTCCTAAATTCGTATTTACCCAGCGCGAATGATAAGAACTTACCCCCAGGCATTCGATCGTCTCGGCGTCGGCGGCCTCTTCCTCGGGCTCGATCAGCATGCTGATATCGGAGCCGGTGGAGATGTTGGTGACAATCGAGTCGGCGAGGAAGCTCAGATCAGTGATCTCCTTCTGGCCGCTAAAAGGGAAAGGTAAAAAGAACTCATATAAATAGTTACCTGAGAATACGAAGAGCATGATTGCGCTGATAGCCTCCAAAGCATTCGGCGTAGACACGGGTGCGCTCCTTTGCTAAGTCGATCGACTTTTTCTCGCTGAAGTCGGCGACACCGCCGTGCTTGAAGCGGATGTGGGTGGACATGTTGTGGCGCAGATGAGACTTGTAGTCACATTCCTTGCACTCGAATCGGAACAACTAAAGGAAAGTAATAATAAAAAGCAATTAAGAATAAAACGAAACATAATAGAAACTAACAAATTTTCTCACCTTAGAATGGAAAGCCGAATGGCGGGTCTTGTTGCGGTGGTCAATCTTTTTTCCGCATTTCTGGCACTCTTTCGTTACTTGCTGGTCTTTGGGCTGAAAAAGAGATAAGTCAAGAAAACAAAACATCTTTTTTTTTAGTTTGGGCCTAAATTAACCTCAAAATCTAATTCGGGTAACGATAGCTCCTCCTGGGGTTCTTCGGGCTCGACGGCCGGCTCGAACCGGACCGGATCCGCCTTTCTTTTACGCCGGCGATTGCCCTGGTGCGGATCGATATTTGGCTTGATATCGGGCTTGATATCAATTTCTTCTTCGGCTTCTTCGCCCGGGTAAAGTTTTGCCAAAGGAGTAGCTGATCCATAGAAGTTACGGCGGGGGAATAAAATAAGAAAATGGCGTGCGCTGGTTCCCCCAGCGGTGACGCCCTTTATCGAACAGCGAAAAATAGGGGCGCGGGGGAGAGGCGCAGGGAGGATGACAAAAGCGCCAAAGCAAAAGCGCCAACGACAAAAGCGCCCATGCAGAAGCGCCAAACGAAAAGCGCCCAATGCCAGAAAGCGCCCAATGCCAAAAGCGCCCAATGCCAGAAAGCGCCCAATGCCAGAAAGCGCTCTATGGGGAAAGCCAACGTATGGAGAGAGGAAACAATTACATAAAATGGCTTTTTTCAAGCTTTGTATGCCTTTTAAACGTTGTTTAGCGATAGGTAGGCTTTGTAGACGGCAAATTATCACCCCGAGCGGGTTGTTTTGGCCTTATTGGGTCTTTTTGGCTTGAATTGCCGTGTTTCAGTCTCTAGTTTTACCGGGTTTGCCTCATGTTCTCACGATTTCTGATGTTTTCAGTCACAATACTGTTGCAAGCACGAAATACTTGTTATAAAACAGTGTTTGGAGGCCAGAACGACGAGAAAAACGCCGTATTTCCGGGTAATGGATCCGAAAATGGCACTAAACAAGCTTTCCACGGCGACTTTATACCTTTCTCACATTAGAAATGTATATTCGGACCGGTTCGAGCATGTAGAGATCAAGAAACTACGTCAAAAATAGTGGAAAAGCTGCTTTAGAAGAGAACTAGCTATTCGAGTGAAAGAATGCCCTAGGAGGCCAAAATAACTTCACCCAGTCGGTAATTTATGGCCTAGTAGGTCGAACTGCCGCTAAACTACCATAATAACACCAGAAAACCGATTAAAACAACTATTTTATCTCTACCTTATGTAATTGTTTCCTCTCTCCATACGTTGGCTTTCCCCATAGAGCGCTTTCTGGCATTGGGCGCTTTCTGGCATTGGGCGCTTTTTGGCATTGGGCGCTTTCTGGCATTGGGCGCTTTTCGTTTGGCGCTTCTGCATGGGCGCTTTTGTCGTTGGCGCTTTTGCTTTGGCGCTTTTGTCATCCTCCCGAGGCGCAGGCAGCAGATACGAGAACCCACGCACTAATGGGGCCGCCCAATCGCCGCAACCCCCATCCCTTTCCCCTCACAACCCAGCCATGGCCGACCCCCAGCACTGCGAGATAGCGAGAGTGTGCGGGGTTTTGGAGGGGGAAAGATATAGGCGACTTGCTTGTATCGTTCAAGCGTTCGAGCAAATTTTTAGGTTTTTAGCGGCCTTATAACGTAGTCTGTCTAATACAGCACAGCAATAAAAGTATGAAGTATTTTTATCTTGTTTAGTGTTTTCTGATAGCTAAACAGTTATAAAAAGTGCAAAATTTTTCAAAAATAGTTTGTTTTGCTTTTCTATCAGGTTTGGTAACTTTCGCGCTATTTTTTGGACATTCAGTGACTATTTTGAATAGTATGAAGCAGATGCCACTAAAAACGCCTCAAATTCTTTCCCAGGACTTCTCAAACCTTACAACTTGGCACAACGGTCCAATTTAACAAGTTTTGATTTATAAGAACTTTCAAAAATCCTCACCACGGTCCTGCGGATGGGCAGCTTGCGGATCTGCCTTGCGCTTCTTGAAATCACCGTCTCGTTCACACAGAGCTGGCTCTTGTCGCTGTGGTCCGGCGATTCGAGCGAGTGGGCCAGGGACTCGCCGCTGGTGTTGGGGGAGTGAGGGGCTGGCGCGATTGAGTGGTTGTCCGGGTTGTCGAACTCCTAAAGAAAAAAGTTGAATCGGTCTAGAGTAACAAAATCTCATAATACCAGCTCAAATAATGCGAAAAGGCACGATCGTATGACAACAATAAGTATAAATCATATCAAAAAAATCAAACGCACCGTTAGCTGATGGTAGCTCATCACGTCGCTGTAATCGGTCATCATATCCGTTTGCTGATCGTAGGGGATGTGGGAGAGGTATGAATAATCGCTTGGCGCATCTAAAAATCGAAAATTCTAAACCAGAAAACGATAAACTTACAAGACATTTGATTAGTGGAATGGGATATGTCGAGGAATGAGACTTGTTGATCATTGACGTAGCTGTACGAGTAAAATTGAGACATTTTCGGCCTGGAACAAGGGAGATGTATAAAATTGAATGCGGATCAGAAAAGAAACAGAAGTCAAGAGAAACCAAGTCAAATCAATCCCAAATAATACATTTATTAAGCATAGAATACAAAGAAATAGGCAAATTAAGTGAAGACAACGTCAAAAAGCATAAAATCAACGAAATCAAGTCCCCCAAAACTGGGAATGAACCCGAAAACTTTCAAAATCAGAAAAATCCTGGCAGTTTGAATTCGGGAGAGTGTATCTGCTACTTATGACAACTCTACGGGGTCGCTGTTTAGAATTCTGGACTATGGTAGCTTCCAGTTTAGGCTGGGACAGGGGTCCGGGGAAGGCCTCAAAGCTTGGGTTGATGAATTGGAATGACTTTTCACGATTTCAATTGGTTATATACCTACAGCTACATCTGCGCTTCACTTGATAACAACTAAAATCGCCGGGGTCACCGGGCGGAAGGTTATCACAAAGCCGCCTCGGAGTCCGCGCAGATGCGGCGACGCCGGGCTTCCAGAGTTCCGGCTTATCACTGGCCGCGCACTAACGTGGCTGACAGCTTTGTAATCGTCGTCTTGATCCATGATCATAGTTTTTGAATTAGAAACAGCCAGATTTAAAAATTTGAAGGACTTGCTAAAGGTTGGAAAGAGAAAATGCGTTACAGTAGTAAATAAAATAAATCCGACGAAGAATCACACAAAAGAAACTGAAGAGTACTGGTTCCTACGAACAAGCTGAAAGAACCTGACACTAATAAAATATTAATGATTTTAATTCCAGGCAATCGACACCGGAGCTGTCATCCTTGCCCTCGACACGATCCGCGATGGTGAAGCTGTGCCGATCAAGGTGGCTCGCGACACCAAGGTATCGCTTTGGGTTTCCAATGATCATCTTCGTGATATTTTTCCAGGTATACATCATCTCTCCCGGGAGCCGTGTCCCGCTTCCCGAGCTCCCTCCGGACTTCTTCGAGATGACGGCCGCCGAGCTGGCGCGCGAGCAGCAGATGCGCAAGGAGCAAGCCGAGAGGGTAATTTTTAACGTTAAGATGGAAGAATTAGAGGGTTTATCACAATTCTTTTCACTATGTTTCCGGCATCGATGAAAATCTGTACTTCCAGATGACGACGCTGCGCACGCGTGAGATGAGAGAACGAGACGCCACCCTGCGCAACTACAAATACAAGTACACGCTGATCCGTTTGCGCTTCCCGGATCGCCTAATTCTACAGGTGTCTTAAATATATTTTCACTTAAATTTAAATATTTCAGGGCACCTTTGGCGTCTACGAACCGGTGCGAGCCATTCGCGAATGGGCTTCGAAGCACGTCGCTCACCCGGCGGTCCCCTTCAGTCTACAGTCTGCTAATAGTAAGCGTTTCTGAATTTTCTTTTACTTTATATGGCAAATTTGGTTTTGGTGCTAATGCAGTTAGGGGGGGGGGGCAGTCCAAAATTGGTAGTAAGGGGTTACGAGGCGCTCCACTTAAGCTACTTGGTTTTCAGCTTAAGTCTAGGCTTAACTTAGCTTTAACTAAGCCTAGCTTAGGCCTAGGCTTAAGTCTAAGCCCAAGCTAAGCTTATCTTGAGCTTCAAATTGACTTACGAAGTCAAAATGGGGTCATTTATGGGTTAGCTTAGAACTAAGCTTAGCTTGGCTCAAGCGAAGCTCAGGCTTCGTTTGTATGAAGCTAAGCCTAGGCTTAGGCTTAGCTTAGCTTTTCCAGAGGCTTCGAGTTTAAAAAACGGCATTTGGAGCGTCTCGTAGTCAAAATCCAGACTGCCCCCCCCTAAGTGCATTAGCACCTTGGTTTTTTTGGCAAAAATTGGGGTTTAAAAAAAACGTGTTTTTTTTTGCATTTACCTCGATTTTGCGAAAGCACCATTAATTTCTACGGATTAATTTAATTGATCATTTTCCAGCCGTCCTATCCAACGACGAAGCGCAGCTCGGCCAGGCCGGCCTGGCCCCATGCGCCGTCATTCATCTTGACTGGGCTGAAGCCATCGACGGGCCATCTCTCGAGGAGACTCTACTGGCCCAAGTCGAACCGCTCGACCCCTGAATCACCCCTCATATCTCGCTTGCCCAATATCCGGTGAATGTAGCGCGTTGTGATATTTATTCCCCTTTTTACTCCTTCCTGTGCGTAGAAATGTCTTCTTTTTTTATTCGTGCCTAGAATTCCGCTCTATCCTCACCAACCATGCGCTTTTCTTATAGGGATCGTGTTTTTATATTCGCGTTGTAAGAAAGTCTAATTTTTCGGGATTTCCGCGGTGAATCGGTGCGACGGAATAAAGTTTTAGAGCTGCCACATTAGTGCGTGAACGGTTTTGATGTTGCAAGTGCAGTTTAGTATTTTACGGATTTGGAGGTGGATGTGAATTCGAGCGCTCTGAATTGATTTTCAGATTATAACCCCGGCAATGGACCCCGCCGATATCAAGTTCCCTAACATAAAGCCGAACATTGGGCCCGTCGGCGCTTCCGGTTTACTCGGTCGACTTCAGTCGTTTTTGCCCCAGATGGAGGAGGCCAATAAGAACTTGCAACCAGATAGTAGGTACTATTGCGCTTGGCGGTCATTTAATTCTCGGCCTTCTATTTGTGGTTTTCTTTACGTGCATGCTTAGTTTATTAGCATAGTTCTATCGTAGTCTGAGCTTATGCATGGACTGAGCCGGCTTAGCTCGACGTCTGCGTCGCGACTGCTTCTTAGCTTAACTTAGCTTAGCTTGAGACTTGAATATGGTACTAGATTACCCGTGAGAAACTGACCAAGTGGTCCCAGATTTACCAAAACAATATTGTGCCCCTCCTCGACTTGAATGGTACCTAAGATTGGATAATATGATTTTATAGATGAGACCGATGTGATTGAAATCGACGCCCAGGACAGTGATGATGACTCCAGCGATAGTGATTCAGAAGGCAGCAGTAGTGATGGGGAGAGCGAGCAGGACGAAGGCTCAGCAACTGAACAAAAATCGGTAAATTTCTCATTTATCTATTCACTTCTGTTTGTTTTAGAAAGTGGTAGTCGACATCTCGCTGTTACGTGAAGGGAATCCCTCAGATGTACGCGTTTAATCAGATCGTATATTTTGCTTTTAGTGCGCGGAGCTGCCGAAGGCGTGGCGGGAAGACGTTGTGAAAGCAGAGACGACGCCTACAAGGCGGATGGTTGAAGAGGTGAAGTTAAAATTATGACATTTTTATAATTGTTTTTTTAGGTACCGGAAGTTGACTAACTTCTCGCCATGCTCGGACGGAAAGAATCGGGTACCTCATACTACTCGTTATTGCGATATTTTGTTATGTTTGTCACGTTGTTCGGAATAAAGTTTGCCTCTCGCTTTTCGTAATTTGGCTTTGACCTGGTGGAGGTTTTGTGAGACCCTAACTATTTTCGACAAACAGATGATTCACTATTTTTATGCTTTTTGCGAACTCACGCTGCTGTTGCCTTTTAAAATATTGATTTTTTTGAGAATACTGCGTCGCGTAGTAAGAATGGCGTCGACGTCGATCCAAGTGGGGTCGGCCATCGAGCAGGGCGTGAAGGTTTCGTCCTTTCGTTTGTCGCAGCCTTTTCTTTAGGAGCTCGAGAAGCTGAAGGATGTTTATGCCGACCTCTGCCAGATACCCATCCCCACAAATGGGCGAATCGTCCGCGCGCAGAATGGAGTCGTCCAGGTATATCAGTTGATTTTCATCCATAGCTTTTTTGCAGCTTACCTCCATCTTTTCCAACCGCGTGCTGCCGTTGAAGAAGTTTGCCCGCTCTCAACGTGTCTCTGTCCTCAACGAGACAGAGCTCGGCTTCGACCTCATCACATCGACTTGTCTGCCGCTAACTTCGACTGAGTAAGCTTCAATTAACCTTTAAAAGCATCGTTTAGGACCCAAACGGCCGTCTACTCGCCCTCAAACACGAAGGTGGCCCAGCTGCTCGTCGTGAAGGACACCGACAAGAAGTACTACCTCAATGTAAGTTTACGGAGTTTGCGAAATTTTTGGTTTTAGGTGTTCGATCAGCAGGAGCACGTCGAATTGCTGTCCACCGACTTGAGCGGCCAGAAGAAGCACGGCGACATTTTTGGGCTCGGTTGCGGTAAGCTATTTCAAAAGATGCAATAATTCTGTCTTAGAACCGTTCGGTACGCTGCGCTTCTCCTTCGGCGAGGGCCACATCCTGTACGCCGCCGAGCGGAGCGTCAAGTCGGGTCAGTTCTTTGACGCCGACGTGGAATGGGACAACGAGGAGAAAGTGGTTGAGGCTCGACTGGTAAGCGTGGAGCGTTAACTTGTTAAACGGTTTTTAGGGCAAAAAGTATGAAGAAAAAGAGTCGTGGGGTGAGGCATGCTCGGACGTGGTCAACCCGGTGCTCTGCATTTGCGATATCATCACGGGCTCGGTGACGGTGCTCGACCAAGTGCCCAAGGGGATCTCTCCCTCATTCGTAAGCATTTATCTTCAAAATTTATTTTGATTTAGGCGACCTGGGCCCCGAACGACACCGGAGTCGTGTTCTTTGGCGTTGACGACGAGCCCTTCCGCCTTGGAAAGATTTACTGCAACAACCGGAAGTGAGCTTGTTTTTGAAAACTTATTTTGGTTACTTTTAGGGGTTCTCTCTACTACTACGACTTGGCGACCGCTAAAATGACCGTGATCGGGACGCCGGGTGAGCTTTGAAAATTCTATTATCCGATTCTGCTAAATTAACGTAAAATCAATCTTTTACAGTAATTTAATATACCTTTTCTGTTCAGGCATGGCATGCGAGCACCCAACTTTCTCCCCCGACGGCAAAACCCTCGTTTACTTCCAACGTGCCGCCGACGGGCCCCATCAAGCCTGCATGCAGATGGTCAAGGTATTTTTTATTAGTTTTTGATATAATTCAATTCCCGTAGGTGTCGTGGCCGTACGACGGAAGCGCCCCGGAAGAGGTCGTCGGCATCGTGCACGACACCGTCGAGGACCCCGACGTTTTCCCCGGCTTCTACGCCGTGTCGATGACCCAAAAGTAAGACTTCCCTTCCAACTAAATTACATTCTTTCAGGCCCTGGTGCACCGACGGTCAGCGGCTGATCGTCGGCAGCATCTGGCGCAGCAAAACCGAGGCGCTGATCGTCGACACGAAGGAGGGAACTGTCACACGGCTCACGAATAACGGTTTGAAAAAAAATCGATTTTAACCTTTTGTTAGGCGGCCAAGTCCACGGCTCTTGGGGCGTGTTGGACGTGAACGGCGACCTGGTGCTGGCCACCGCCGCGGCGCCGAACCGCCCACACACTGTACTGCTCGGCCGCGTTCCAGCAGCCGGTGCCGAGCGCGAGGTATAGGTTTTACATAAAATTTAATGCATCTTTCTTTCAGATGCTGTGGACCCGCGTGGATGGCGTCTCGCCAACACACGAGCTGCGCCAGTCGCTGGCCGATGTGCTGTGGAAGTTTGTGCAGTTCAAGCGAGACGGTGCATTCGATTTCTTTGGCGTTAATCTTTGTTAGGTTTGAGCCCGTACGAGGGAATTTTGGTACAGCCCACCGAGGGGACGTCACTGCCGCTCGTCGTTTTCCCGCACGGCGGCCCGCATAGCACGAGTATCGCTTCGTCAGTTTTTGATTCCTATGCCCCTATTTCATGTGCAATTTTTTCGCTCGAAACTACCAAAAAAGTTTTGTAATTTTTGGAACAGGCCTCTTCTCGAATTTCTGAAACTAGACTCAAAAACAGCGAACATTCTGCATTTGATGCGCCATTCGTCGCCAATTTCTAACCCGTTTCAAAACATTTTGTTTTTAGATGGCCGCGACGCGACGTTGGTCTGCTGCTGAACGCCGGCTTTGCCGTTTTGCAGGTATTTTTTTTCTGGGATTTGCTCTAATTTTTCATGCCAGGTCAACTATCATGGCTCACTCGGCTTCGGCGACGAATTCGTACGGCAGTTGCCGGGCAACGTCGGCGACATGGAGATCAAGGATGTGCAGGTTGATTTAAACTGGTTTCTAGTTTAATTTTTTAGTTTTTCTAGTTGCTTTCATTCTAGCCTATTTTAGCACGCTGCCGAACAAGTGCTGGCCACGGAGAAGCGCCTCGACCCGTCGCGCGTCGTCTGTTTCGGCGGCAGCCACGGAGGCTTCACCGTTTCCCATCTGATCGGACAATATCCGGTATCGAGTATTCCTTTTTCAAATGAAATGCCTTGTTTTAGGACTTCTACCGCGCCTGCTGTGCCCTGAACCCGGTGCTCAACATTTCGGCCATGTACGAGATCACCGACATTACGGACTGGTTGGTGTTCCTTTTAATGTAGTTTGTCATTTAAAATCGCATTGCTTTGTAAAAATCACTTATAAACGTGAAAACACGTAGGAAAATTTGAAAAGTGATAAAAACATGATCATCTTTTTTGAAAATCAACATTTTTAGTGCGTTTTAAACGAATTAGTAAAGTTTTTACGTCCAGGGATAGTGAAAAACAATCCCGCGACTGCCATAATAGAATTTGCCATTCTGAGAGGTTATTTTCACTTTCAGGACATGGTACGAGGCGCTCGGCAAGGAACCCGAGTGGACCCGCGCCCCGAACGCGGAAGAACGTGACGCGATGGTACGATGCTCGCCGGTTCACCACCTGGACAAGGTAGGGCACCTTTTCCTGAGTTTTACCCTCAATTGGTTTTAGGTGAAAACTCCATATCTGCTTCTGATCGGGCAAAAGGATCTGCGCGTCGTCCCACACTACCGTGGCTTCATACGCGCGCTGCAGGCCCGAAAGGTGCCCACCAAGTAAGCCGAATGTTGCTTTACACGTAAACGTCCTTTTCCCAGGGTTCTTACCTACCCGCCGTCGTGCCACCCGCTTGAAGAAGTCGAGGTTGAAGCCGACTTTTCCATCAACATGGTCCGCTGGTTCGAGCAGTACCTCTGAATTTACACAGCCCCTTTGCATTTATGTTCCCCCACCCCTGCCTCCATTCCATTGGTGTGATCCATCTGTAGTTTTACAACTTTTCCCCCTACTTTCTGTGCTCACATTTGCCGAGTGAATTTATTGTGATGTGTTCATGTAGTAATGTCAATAAATCTATTTTCAAAGTGCAGTCGCTTTTTGACCCAACAAGCCGCGTAAGCTGAACCTCTTTATTACACAACACTTCGATACGACAAGAATAAATAATGAACGAGTAATGGTGATCAGTTAGCGATTTTCGGGGCGCGGCTTCTTCCTGCTGGGCGTCAGCAGCTTGCCGATGGTGCGGAAAAGGCCGCTGCGACGCTTGATCTGGGGCGGTTGCTGCTGCTCGAACTGGCTCTTCTCCAGCAGATCCACCGCATCGTCCAAGTCGATCGAGGCCTTTTCGTCGACGCGCAGCGCGGCCTTCATCTCCATCTATAAAGGGAAAATATCAAATCGAAAGCGAAGAGCATTATTTCGCTAGTATTAGGCAAAAACGTACCAACGGAATCGGCGAGGTGGGGTCGTCGAGGCCCGGTCCGTACGACGGAGGGCGAGCGGTACGGGGCGGCGAAATCAGGGACGAGCCGGGGAAGTCGAAGGTCGTGTTGGTGCCGGAAGTGGACGGCGTCAGCTCGGCATGTGTCCGTTCAGCGAGCACCGGGGTGTAGACGAGGCAGGGCGGGGATGGCAACAGCTGGAGGCGCAGCCGTCCACTGCTGCGCGCCACCTCGATCGGGCTCGTTTCCGTCGGGCTGGCCGGCTTCTTTGGTGGGCTCATCTAAAGGGAGCCGCTTGAAATGGGGGATAAAGCTCACTCGCTTGGGCAGGTAGGACACGAGCTTGTCGACGACCGCCTTGAACTCGCTCGGCTTGTCGTGGTGGGCGGTGGCGAGCTTGGAGGGCACCTTGCACTTTTGCTGCGCCATCATTCGGGCCTGGTTGATGCGGCGCGTGTCCTAGAATAAAAAGGGTACGAAAAATCAAGGGATTCCGTTTACCGAGGTGAAGAGCAGGTGGTTTTCGGCTTCCAGCGGCTCGTCGTCCGATTCCTCTTCCTCGTCGGCGAGGTCGGCCACCGATCCAAAGAACACGGGATTGCCTAGGGAAAAGGATGGAAATAAGAAGCATTCCTTACGGGTGGACATCATCAGCTGCCGGCGGTAGAAGGCGCTCTCATCCCGCAGCAAGTTCATCTTGACGTGGCACTCCTCGGCGTACTCCCTCGCCAGCAGCGCCTTATGCTCCTCGATAGCAAGCGCCAGGTGCATCCTCTAAATCAAAAGCTCAAAACCATCACAACCCTTGCTCACCGCGTTCGAGATTCGAAGGGCGTGCATCTGGTTGCAGTGCGAGACGAGCATGCGCGACAACTGGCCCCTAAACCATTTTGCACGACATTTGGAGGCTCGCACTTGTCGACGCTGGTGACGAGCGCTTCGGCGTCTTGTCGGCTGTTGATGAGCTGGGCGAAGCCGTACTTCCCGTTCCAATTCGGGCGCCGCATGCGGTTGGCGAGTTTGCGCGCTTCGCGCTCCCGGAGCCGGGCTTGTCCTAAAAAGATGAATAAATTTTCGCTAGGAAATTTCTCGTTGCTCAAGAAAGTGTGGAAAAGCAAGGCAAGGAAAAAAGCGTATCTTCGCGAAAAAATCCCTTACGCTGCTCGTTCATCCCGACGGCCCGGCCAACTTCCACCATGCCGTCCGTCCACTGGTCCCATCCGTCACGGTCGTAGAGGTTGACGGCGACGGCCGTCTTGAAGTGCACGCCGATGGCCGCTTTCGAAATCGAGTGCGTGTAGTTGTTGTCGAGAACTGAAAAAAGAAGGTAGGTTTTCGAAAAAAGTGCCAACGTACCTTTTAAAATAGACTTCCAGGAGCGCTTCGACATCACCTCGCCGGGCTCGTCGAGCAGCATCGCCATCAGCAAAGTTTCGAGTAAAATAAGAAAGTGCCCGATCCGGGGGCCCGTTTTCATTTTATTTATGGATTTCTATGCTAACCTCGAGCATTTCCGGTATTGATTCAGACATTTTCAGGGTTATAAACCGTTATTTAAATTCACTTCCGGTTCCTTTATTTTCAACCTTTAGTTGCCAGAAATCGCTCGATAAAGTTTTCGAAAATTTTAGGGATTTGGCATCGCTCGAGACGCAAAATTTGTCTCTACGTGCCCCGCAACTTTGATTTATATTTATTGTTTATTTTCTTTTATTACTGACTTTCAAAGTTTTAAAGTTTAAAATTTTTGAGGACGGATTTTCCGCACGGCTACTATCGACGAGTGGTCTTGTAGCGGCGTTTCTATGTTACGGTATTTCTCTTCGAGTTTCGGGAATTGCCGTCCTAGCTTTCCGAATTTTTCGGCTTTTTCTCTGATAATTTTGATTGAGGTCTTGTTGCTTTCCTTAGTTCTCTTTTTGTAAGATTCTGCTGTTCTCGTAACCACGTTCTAATTTAGAAGATCGCGACATGATGCAGCTCCCGAACCCGATAGCGGGCGGAGTGCTCGGCGCTAAGAAGAACCTCTACACGAACCTCTTCCACGTGGAGATGGCGCCAGAAGGACGGACGCTATACAAATACAACGTCGAGGTCTACGTCAGCTTCCGGGTCGACCTCGAAGATCCGGCTGGCACCCGCATCGACCTAACACGCTCGACTTCAGGGTATTTCCCCCTAATTTTACCCAATTTTTTTTAGCCCACTGGCGACGCTGAACAAGCAATACTGTGGCCGCATCCTTCGCCACGTCTTCACGAAAACGAACATGATCGGATGCCGCAGTCTCTTCTACGATCATCACCAGACTCTCTACGTGCCCGTCGACCTGGAACAGACACTCGGCTGCCTTTATGGCATTTTTCAACTGGAAGACGATGCAAACATGCCACCTCAGAAAAATACGATGGTCCGCTTTACTCTGATGGACAAATTCGAGGTAGCCCCGTTTTCAGGATTTGTGCAAACCATTTTTTAGTTTTCCGAAGAGGGCCTTGTTGGCCTCGATGGAACAACCGAAGAGCGGCGGCGGGCGGAGGAATCGTTCCGCGACTACATCGAGGTGGCTGTGATGCGCGTCTGCCTGGAGGACTCGCTGGAAGAGGACAGCGAATTTCTATGTTTTAAAGGCCGTAAAGTGTACCTTCGGCAGCCACTACACAGGAACGACGTTATCGTGAGAGCTTTTTTTTCAAAAACGACATATCTTTTAGGCCTCAAACTCGCAACAACTTCTGACGGGCGCAAAGAAGGCCGTCGAGTTCTATCGGGGCGCGGAACGCCAGATGCGCATCGGAATGACGATAGATGTCGAGAAGCAATGTTTCCTCATCCCGCAGCCTGTAATCCAATCGGCCATGGCGCTTTGTCAACGGATAAAATCTTCAACTTGGAGCCACGAAGATGTGCCACGGCTGAATCGGATCTTCAAAGGTGCTGATTTTTTAGACGTATCTTATTTCTTTCCTAGGTGCTCATGCCTATGCCTCATATGGAACGTCGCACCGCAGAGTCACGATCGGAGAAATTATCTTCGGCACTGCACAGTCTGTGAAGTAAGTTGAACTTTTTGATTTCATTCATTTGCTTTAGGTTCACGCCAAAGGAGGGAGGAGAAACAATGACGATCGAAAAGTACTTTTACGAGAAGTATAACATCACCCTCCAATATCCGATGGCGCCCCTTGCCGAATGCAAGAGAAAGGATGTGGTGCTTCATTTTCCGCTCGAGTGCCTAATTATTACCGCGGGCAATTCTGTGCATCTTGGCGACCAGCCACAAGAAATTTCTTCGATAATTGTTAAGGTGAGGGCTAGATGCTAGTATTATTTTGCGGATTTAGGGCTCAGCGCTTCTGCCCATGGATCGACAGCGCACGATTATGGAGATGATTCGCCGGGAGAAGATCGGAATTGACCTTCTGGACGATGCCGGCTTTCGTATTGCAACAGCAGAACCATTGAAGGTATCGACTTCATCTAACTATTAAAATCCGTTCAGACAATCGCCCGACAACTTCCCGCGCCCGCATTCGGATATCGAAATTTGGCGAATCCGGTGCGCGGCATCACCAACCGGGGCAGTTGGCGTCGACCGAACGGCTTCGAATTCGCAAAATCTGCACAAGTCCCGATGCCCATCTACATCCAGCTTGCCACCGATCAGAACTCAAGACTCGACCTTGCGCGACTGTCCTCGATCCTGCAACAAGCCGCCGAAAAAACTGGCCTGCAGATCGCCCCAAATGGCCGTGTCGAGGTATTTTTCCGCTTCGGTGCTTTGAAAGTTTTTAGCGCACTACTCCTGATCAACTCGAACAAGCCTTCCGCACGATGCAACAATACGGCTACAAATTCGCGGTATTCATCAGCGACGACTCCTTGAAGTACCAAGATGAGATCAAGTACTTCGAGCGCAAGTATCAAGTACTGACGCAAAATATCCGCCTGAAGACAGCGCGTGAAATTCTCGAAGCCGGAAAGGCCGCCACCGTCGAGAATATCCTTCAAAAGATGAACACAAAGCTGGGCGGAACTTGCGTTGAACTATCGAGGTATTGCTTTGCGATTGGTAGTTGACAGCAATTTCTAGGGCACCGTCGCAATCGCCATTCCTCAGCGAATTCGAGAAGGGCAACATTTTCGTGCTGGGTGTTGGCGCGCCCACATATCTCACGAAGGAAGAGTCTATGTCAATCGGCGCTATCAAGGAAAAGTCTGTGCTCACTGTGCTGCCCTATGCTGCAAACTTTGGCTACGACGTTACGGGCTTCGTGGGCGACTTCGCATTGGACTTCTGCCCTCCGAAACAAGCTGTGGTAAACTTTTTCACATTTATTTTGGACAAGTTTCTTTTGTAGCTCCGCGGCGCCGAATTGCTTGGCTACAGTCTGGACTCGCTGGTCCGCACCACCAGGCGCCCGCCGCCGCATATCGTCATTTACCGGACAGGCCTCGTCGACTCGTGCATTCAGAAGCTGATGGCCCAGGAGATCACCGACATCCGGGCGTTGTTGAAGGAGCGTGTCGGCCAATACCGCCTTACCTATTTGCTAATGCACAAGGAGCATTCTACACGGTTCTTCAAGTCCCAGGTATTTTTGGTTTTGTTTCGTCCAACAATTCTTTTTTCCAGACCAATCCAAACGACAATGCGACGGGCCAGAACGTCGAGCCCGGCACGGTCATCGACGGGGACCTGATGCACCCGCACCGACGCCAGTTCTTCCTCAATTCGCACGTCGCACTGCAAGGAACCGCGAAGACTCCACGCTACACGGTTGTCGCCGACGACGCCAGTTTGACGATGGATGACCTCGAGGTATACTCTCTTTTGAGAATTTCACTTTCTTCAGATGATGACTTATGATCTGTGCTATCTCCATCAAATCGTCAACTTGCCCGTGCAGACGCCAGTCCCGCTCTACGTCGCCAAGGAGTATGGCCAACGCGGCAAGCGCATCCTTTTGCAGTATTTGTAAGTTTTCAGTTGCATATTTAATATATTTGTGTTAGGAAAGATTTGGAGAACAACGCGCACAACTTCTCGCTGACCGACGCCAAGCACGCGCTCGAGTACCGATTCGCCGACCAGCTACGGAACTACCGCGCAAATGCCTAGTGATTGTTCGCATTTGGTTGATTCACCTATAATTGTTGTATGTATCTAGAATTTTAATTGATTTGTTTGTTCCATATTACTGTTATAATAATTACTTTGGGATAAATTTTCCAATGTTTTAGTTTGCGTTTTTCTCGGGGAACATCAGAATGGATAACTGATTTATTATCTGCGGTCGGCAGTGGAGTGGAACAACGGGTTTTGGAATGGCGGTTGGAAATGCAGATGGCCAATGCTGGTCAGCAAAAAAGTTGGGTGTGAGGCTTAAAGCGACAAGAAGCGGTGTCATTGAGGCAAGAGTCGTGGTGGCACAAGGAATTCGATAAATATGTTATGTTGTTGAGCATCGGCGGTTGTTTTGTTTAGTTGGATTCGATCGGGAATGGGGATCCGGGCACTTCGCGGTCGCCGTATCGCACAAAGATGAGCCCGCGCACCTTCTCGTGGATCTTGTAGTTCACCTTGATATTTTGTATTGTTTCTAGATATATTCTACTTACGACAAAATGGCCGGCACCCATGTGCTTGACGACGACTTCTTCGCAGGGTCCTTTCGATGTGACTACGCCAACCATCAATAGGTTGGGACCTAGAACAGTCGTAATAGTGGTTAAAAGTAGTTTTTCAATTATTTTCATTTCAGTTTTAGCATCTTGAAGCTAGTTCGAATTGATCAAGTCTACACCTACCAGCAGACCCCGTGTCCACGTTGAACGAGGCGTGCTTGCCGACGGTGAACTTGTGAAGGCCCGGGCCGTGGGCTTGGACCCTGGATGCCTCGCCGGTCAGCCCGGACGAGGAGCTGTTGGCTTCTTCCAGGTGGTGGCCGTTCGCTTGTTTTGTCGATGAAGCGGGCGCAATTTGAACCTGAAACATTTTTTAGATTAGGCATTTTGTTTATTGAATTTCTAGGATTTGCTGTTTGTAAAGTGATAATCAGCACTCACGTGGAAGGGTGAATCGCGGATGTGCTCCTCGTTGAACTTGACGGACACTTGGTAGTCACCCGGTTCAGCGACGGTGTAATCGACGTGGCAACTGCCGTCCTGAAGTTGAGGTAAGGATTTGATATCGAGACTTTTAGATCTCGTCGATGATGCCGTTAGAACAAACCTGCTGATCTTGAAAGTGCATCTCGGCCTTGACTGGCCCTTCGACGCTGACCGCCAGCTTTCCAGTGCCGGCTTCTCGGGTGTATACCGTGAAGGCATTGGGTGTACCGGCTTCACCGCTGTGCACTCCTTGGCCGGTAGCGCGTACCTGGAGTTGGGCAAGTTATTTTATAGTTTTGAATCGTAAAAACATGGCTTTTTTTGGCGGTTTTTTGACTATTCATTTATTCACACTTGCTTTCATTATTCGATAAAACTTTAGCAGTGTCGAAGATAATTTTTAGCTCTGTTTCACGGCTAATTCGCAAGAAAAAGTGCCTGTAGTTTGAAAATCATGAATTCCACTGTGTTTTAAGTGCTAAAAACGTTTTACGATGGTTTTCTGAGCCGTCTTTTCTTAGTTAATCTTGTCTAGGTAATTTGTAGGATTTTAAAAGAGTAAAAGGGTGAAAAGGCTGAATCTTGAAAGCGCTTTTTCCAGGCTTGTTTTTACCAACCTTCTTCGCGTCGCCCTTCTGCAGTGCGCCAACCGTGAAATGGAACGGGGAGCCAATGACGGGTTTCCCTTTGTTGTAGACGTGCAGCGTGTGCTGCCCATCGACTTCCGGAGTGAAGCTGAGGGCGTAGGCGTTGTCGGTGCCGGGTGAGATGGAGACGGGCAGCTCGGAGCCGCCGGGCGCGAGAAGTCTAGCGGTCTGAAAGGAAACTAAAGTTAGTTAAATTTATCTTACCACATCAGCAGGCGAGGTCGTTTTTGGGAGCTTCAGGCTGATGCTCGCCTCTTCACCGACGGAAGCGACGACTGGCTGAAGTTTAGGATTTTTCTGGGTTCTTATTATTTCGGATTTTTTTATACTATTTGAATTCATGGTTTTAACTAGATTCGAATCGTAATTGTTTTATTTTAGTATTCAAGGGGTTTTAATGGGAAATTAGACCATTTAATTTCCAGCTTCTATCTAGCCTGGAAAGTGATTTTTTTACATTCATTCTCTAGGAAATCTTTAAATGACTCCAAGTTATACTCTATAATACTATTTTTAGTTTAATAAATGGTATAGTTTAGGTATGACTTTTTCTATTAATTAAATGTTAGCGTCAAATTCCCACCTCAGCAGCCTGGTATTCCATTTCATTTACCCGTCGGAGTTCGCCGTTCGTAGCATCGGGGCACATTACGGAAACTGGGCTTCCTGAAAATGGAAATAGAATTAAAATTGCCGAAAATTTCTAAAACATACTCTTTCAAAGTATTTTTAAGGTTCGGAAAATCGACTCGAACACCCCAAAATCGACCCCTCCCTTCAACTAGGTCTCGACAGCTCCAAAAACGTTTGAAAATTGCGAAAATTTTTATTTTTTGGCGCGATTCTGGGTTTTTAGGGCTGGAAAATTCAAAACTATACTGGTCATCTGAAATTGCACGTGGCTGTCGAGATCTAGCCGATACAAGGGTAGATTCTGCTAACCCCTTTCAACCCTACCTTTCACGTGCTGGTCGGCAAACTTGACGTTGACCTTGTAGTGGCCGGGCTCTTGTACTCGGTATCGAATAGCGATTAGCCCAGGCTCGACCTCCTCGCAGTAGAGCTGCGCTTTCGACGGGCCCTGGATCGAGACGGCCAGGCTACCGTAACCTGGGGTACTGTATGAAAATTCCGATGCAGTCCACTTACCGGCTTCCTTGGTATTGACGAGGATTTCGTTCAGTTCGTCGAGCTTTGCCTCGTGAATTCGATCGCCCTCGAGTCGTACCTTGCTGACGTCGCCGAGCTGGCTTTCATCCACCTAAAAAGGGCAGGGTTACAGGGATTGGGAAGGCGTATGAGAAAAATATTCACAATCCAAATATCCATTGCCTCGCCTTTCCCGCCCCTTTAAAGCGGTAGTGACGGTAAGTTCTAACCTTGATCTTGAAGGGGCTCTTCGGAATCGGCTGCCCATCGCGGTAGACGTGGATCAGATGGTCGCCGACTTCACGAGGGGTGAAGGATACGCCTGGAATTTTAGGAGTATGATGATCATCTCCAGTTTCGTACCCAATCGTCCATTCTCAATTGATCGCACGATGCACGGCTCGACATGACCGGATGGGGCCTTGATCGTCGCTGTCAGGTCTTTGAGAGGGCCCTCCGACGTGGAGACGTTCAGAGAGAACTGGAAAACACGAGGGGTTTGGTTGAACAACAAGTTCAAGCAGTTGAAACCTCAGAAGCGCTCCCCAGATGCAGAATCTCGTCGCGATGAGCAACGACGGGTACGGTATACGGGGAATCAGCTACTTCTTTTCCTCCCAATCGCACGTACACCTTGTACTCGCCGGCGACTGGCGGGGTCCACGTTACCGAGCAGACGCCGTTCTGGAAAATACACTGTCTCTTCCTCTCTATCTCGCTCATTCTTTCTCACTCTCTCGCTCTCTCTCTCTGTATCTCTCTCTCGCTTTCTCTCTCCTCCCCATACCTTATGATCCTGTATCGAAATTGGTGCCTGCATAGCTCCCTCGACGCTCACGCTCAATTCCTTGTCGTGCGTACCCTAAAATTCCAAGCTCCAAAAAGCACCTTTTCTACAGTACCTTCGAATCGACCTCAAACACAGCCGGCTCACCAGCCACCGCCGAGATTAAGCCAGGACCGTAGGCAGTTGGTGCTCCCACCCCACTCGAGGCGACGTTGAATTTTAGAGGTGTTCCCTGAAACAATGCGGATTACGTTAGATGGTAAGAATCCCGAACCGCAAGCGGCACGCCATCACTCTTGACGACAAGTTCGTGTGGTCCGGCTGATTTAGGCGAATATCGTACTGCTACAGTGCCGTCGCCGAGGTCATGGAGTTCGGCCTTATCCTTGGTGCCGAGTGGGGTGAGGACCTAAATACAGAGACATAAAAGGAGAGAGAGCGAGAGAGAGGGAGAGAGAGAGGGAGAGAGGGAGAGCGAGAGGCAAACTTAGAAAAATGATGGCTACCTCGGCCTCCAATTTCTGATCTTTATGAGAGCCGATGTTGAACAGGAATTCCTTGTCTCCAGAAGGCGAGCTGACCTCCTTGGAGAGGCCGTAGTAACTAAAAATTCTGTTGAATTACGGTAGCTAAAATGCCATAAGATTATTGTAGCCAAAGAAAGCATCGATGGTACGGCAGGTAAGGTTTTTGAAGTGATCACGGTAGCTTTGCAAAACGCACAGATTTTCCTTGGCTTCGATGAGGCTGTCGCGGCTTTTCTCAAGGCGGCCAGCTTTCTAAATGTGTTGTAAATTTTTTTATACACTTTTTTTCTGACCTCCAGGGGTGCCAAAAGTTGCTCTCCGCGGGCTCGTTGTTCACTGAAAAAGTCTGGTATTTGGGATTTTGGAGTATCGCGTCGTTGTCGAGACCTAGTCGATAGAAGGGGTCGATTTTCGGGCTTCCTAGCCTCTTTAGAATATCATAGCAATTCTAAGGTTTTCATTACACGTAAAGAGTTTTACCTAAGGAATTGGTACTTTTCAGCGGTGCTTGGGTAGAAGGGCTCTTCTTTGTGCAGCTTTTGGCTCTCCAGCTCTTTGGCTTTGTTGAGCTTGATCTGATCTTCCTCCTTTTTCACCTCAATGGGGACCGGGATCGGTTTGGTCAGCTCGGAGACGACCTAAAAAGACGCACGTAAAAACGCCAAAATCTTCTTTCTCACTATCTCACTGTCTCTCGCTCGCCTTCGTTTTCTCTCGCTCTCTCGCTCTTTCGCTCTCTCGCTCTCTCTCTCACCTCAAAAGCCACATCTCCATCCTTCACCAAATCCCCTCCATAGATGACGTTCACTGTCTGCTTTCCGAGTTCGGTCGGTCGAACGAGGATGTGCTCCTGAAAACCAGTTACGCTATTTTTTCCAATACCCCGACATACCTGAATCTTTCCGTCGACCTGCTTCTGAACGACACGACTGTGAATAGAATCTGGATGCGATTTTAGGAGTGCGACTCGGGCTTCTGGTCTTGGTACTCTTCTTTCCAGGATGATCCGCTTTTCCTCGCCGATCAACCACTCAGCGTCCGTTGGTTTTTCTGAAACACAAATGGTTTATCAGGAGGAAACCAACTATTTTTAGCATCGAATTTGGAATCCCTCTCTCTCGCTCTCTCTCTCTCTCTCTCTTTCGGTGCATAGGACGTATTTTCTCACTGTTTTTAAGATTTTCAAATATAACTTTACAAATTTTACAAAAAAAACAAAAAAATTAGGATTTTTTTCCCAAAAAAGACCAACTCCGACCAAAATCTCAATTTTTGGACAGTTCTGCTACTTTAAAAATAGTCAAATGGTGCTAAAAACACTACAAAAATCCTGTAACTATGTTAATAAGCAATTCTGAGACAACAAATATGTTTTAGACCCCCAAAAATTTACCGATTATCCGGACATCATCCAGATTCCCGACCGGCGTCGCGTAGAAGTTCAACGGATGTTCGGACACTGGGTGGCCATTGATGAAGCATTCCAGAGGGTAAGTCCCAGCCAAGTCGGTCTCGAAGCCAAGTTCATGCAATCCGTTGCCCTTGTCGACGACGTCGACGTGGCGAAGGTGACCATCCGGGCCCTAATTCTTTCTTTTCTAAAAGATGACCGGCTTACCGTAACCGCCGCCGTGACATCAGAAACTTTTCCACAGTCCTTTGTATCGAGGAGGGCATGGGCTCGTTGGCCGGCCGGGATTTCGGCTCGGCTCTCCAGGGGGGCGAGTCGGGCTTTTTCGGGTTCGGATTCGGCGAGGAGGCGGAGAGGGAATGGGCTGGAAGTTGGTATTGAACATCTTCGACTCTCTCTCTCCCTGTCTCTCTGCTTCTCTCGCTCTGGCTTTCCCGCCCTCTCACTCGCTCTCTCACTTTCTCTATCGCTCGCTCTCTCTATCTCGCTCACTCTTGTCCTCTCTCTCTCTCTCTCTCTCTCTCTCTCTCTCTCTTTCTCGCTCTCTCTTGTCTAGGCAACCATTTTATTAAAGAACCTCTGCAAGCCTGCCAACTAACCTGCCGGGGATGGGCTCGCCATCGTAGCGGATCTCCAGCGGAACCACTTCTCCGGGTTGTCCCTTTGGCGAGATTTCAAAAACGTGAGCTCCTTCGCGATGTTCCAACGGATGGACGACGGGTTGAGATTGGCCTAAAGTTGAGCATGACTGAGAGAGAAAGAATGAGAGCGCGAGAGAGAGAGAGAGAGAGTGAGAGAGCAAGATAGAGAGAGCGAGCGTGAGAGTCAGGGGACGAAAGAGTGAGACCCACCTGCCGGCAAACTAGCCGTGATCTTCCCGGGCGCCGTCTTCGAGGCGTCCACAACCACTTTCGCCACATCTCCAACACGATGTTCTCCAGAGTCCAGGCCTTCGACGTGGACTTGCGAGATGTCGTGTGGATACTCGGATTGGACGTGGAAGGGAGAGCCTGAAAATAGAAAGAGGGAGATGCGAGAGAGAGAGAGAGAGAGAGAGAGAGAGAGAGAGAGATGAGGGAAACCTACCAGGGATATGCTTCTTCTCATCCCCATACATAATATCGATTCTATACTGTCCGGGTTCTCGGGTGATGTAATGCACTCCACAGCTTCCATTCTTGAAGTCGACCACCTCGGTCTCGGCTTCGGTCGGGCCACTGATCTCCAGGGCCAAACCGCCATCGCCGGCTCCCTAAAAATCAGGTTTAAAGGGACTGAAAAGAGGAGAATCGAGCACAAATACGCAACGCGCGAAATAACACACGGAACGCTTCGGATTATGGAGAAAAAGACCGAAGCGCTACTTTGTCCCAGATACCGTACCTGTGTATCAATCTGGAAAGATGCTGGCTGATCCACCGTAGCCTTTTCAAGTCCTGGCCCGTGGGCTCGGCATTTCGAGGCGTCTTGGCCAGCTTTCACCTTCAAAGTCCCAGAGCAGATTGGTTCCTCATCAAATAGCACCTGGAATTCACGTTTAAAAAAACCGGGTAGGCCGGCTTAAAATCCATATATTTCAGCGTATAACACGAACCTCCAACCGTGTGTCCCCCAATTCATTGGCCTGGAAGGTGGCTTTGTAGTTGGAGGCATCGATCTGCTCCACAGGGACTGCAGCCACTTTTCCATTCGGGCGATGGGCGAGGAGTTGGAGGCCCTGAGCATGAGCTACGTTTCTGCCGACGTCAACGCGGATATTCGAGACGTGGCCGCTGAGGACTTCTTCTGAAATTTGAGGTTATACCATGCGATTAGCGAAACGAAAAATCTATCTGTAATTCCTGCTTTTTCATAGCGTAAGCGATTGGCTTTTTTCCAATTGTCCTGAAGGCCTGAAAAACATGGGCCCCATTATCTGTTTAAGAAATGTGGCTAGAAAGCGGTTTTTTCGTGTTGCCGCTTCCTCGCGCATTCCTTTTAAAGGGGTTGAGACGCGAAAAATTCGACCTATTTCCCGACTAGGTGTCGACAGGTACGTAGCGCTCACCATGCCCAGTCTCTGGAATTTTTACAGGTTCTGTTTCCTTAGCGGGGCAGGTCACGCCCGCTCTCCTTTCCTTTCCCCAAAAGGCCTAATGGGAGTTTCTCTCCCCCCCCCTCGCTAACGCACCAATACCTTTTTTTAAGGTTCAAGGAGCTCGGGTAGACAAAAAAAGAGGACTCCGTAGTCGTTTTTAGGGGAGCGCGTGGCTGTCGAGACCTAGTAGACAATAGGGGTCGATTCGTGGGTTTTTCAGTCCGTTAATGACCTCAAAAAGTCAAGAATGGATTTTCTTAGTGACCCATTCTTTCACGTACTTCCAATGCCTTTAAAGGAACCGGGAAGGCATAAATCCATAATTTTGTGAAGGATTCCAGAAATTCCAGGCTTACTAGTCACTTTCAAAACCCAATCCCCTCCATTTTCTGTCCCAAAAACCCATAAAAACAAGAATTTATTGTTGCCCGTATCGTTTGTGTGTGTCAGTCGAGTAGCGCGTCAGTGTCTGTACGTCAATAGGAAAATATGTACAATCCTAGAGAAAAATCTGAAAAAAAGGAAACCGAAGAAGAGAGGGGACCCTGAATCGAGAGGAGGAGCAATGAGGAAAACAATATAGTGTTCAAAAATATGAAAAAAAACGGTAGAAAAATCTGACATTTTAAGGAGCAGTGAATGTTTTGCGAGGAGGAGAAATCACAAAAACACATCGAACTTGTTGATCAGCTGCATTGTTGAGGTGTGGATGAACCGCTAGATAACGATGGGAATGGGCTGGCTGTTTTGTCGCGGTCCGGGATTATTTTTGGGGATGAGAGCATCGGCGCACAGGCGACCACCTGAAAAATGAGAATATCTCGAACTTTGCAGTCTGCGTAAAACTGTACAGGCATGTTGGCAGAGGTTCTTGGGGGAGGATTTTTCGACGGGGTAATCCAGAAGCCAACCAGCAAAGATTATTGGGGAGTAGGGCTTTTCCGGGCCCTTTAAGCTTATGAGTTAGGATGGCACGCTAGCAGTGATTCTTTGGGATTGAGCTAATTTTTCGAGAGCCCTGCCGCTTGGATTTGGACAAACGGACAAGCCAGCGGTGATTCTTTCGGAACCAGTCCCTTTCTAGGACCAGGCGAGCTAGCAGGGATTATTTGGCACTTCCGGAGCTCAAATAAGCTAGCAGGAATTCTTGAGGAGTTTCGGAGCTCAGGGAAGAACGATATCAGGCATTTTTGTGGATTTCCAAAAATTGGGCAGGCTAGCAAAGATACTAGCGGAATTCTGGAACTCGGGCAAGCTAGCAGCGATTTTTTCGGACTTCTGAACCCGGGTAAACTAGCAGAGAACATCGTGGATTCTCTCAGCTCAGGTAAGCTAGCAGGGATTCTTACGGACTTGCAGAACTCAGGTAAGCTAGCAGAGATTTTTGTGGATTTCTGAACCCGGGTAAGCTAGCAAAGGCTCTTGGGAACTTCTGGAACCATGGCAAGCTAGCAGAGACTGTTGAGGAATTCAAGCACTCACCTGAAAAGGACTTCCCGGTACGTGTTGATCTTCAAACATCACTCTCAACCAATACATTCCAGGTACCCTCGGCACGTAATACATGGAACATGTCCCATCATGATTATCGACACAATGGATCGGGGTTCGAGTAGGGCCATCAACGAATAAATCGATATTTCCGAAACCGGCGGCCGATGCATCGATATGGACATGCGTTGAACGGGTCGCCATTACGGGGCCAAGGCCTGGACCCGATATTCGAACGAGATCTGCACGGGGAGGACCCGAGCGGGAGACCACATATTCTGCTTCTGAAATGGGTTACGGTAGGTAAATGTAGGGTCACTTTTAAAATGTCAAAACTCGTCATATCAAAATTTAATGGTGTCGAAAATTCATGAAATCGAAATAACTTAATAGCGAAATTTGCGGAGCTTTCGCCTTATCGGGGGGTGGGTGGGGGTTTATCAAAGGCAAAATCAAAATAGCGAAAGCTTTTCCACATTGCTTTCTTACCATTCTTAAACGCAAAATCTGTACTAAAAATACAAAAGAAAAAACAGATTTTTTCATCAGAAGGCCAATTTCCACAAATTTCTAATCTGGAATGTTTAAAATTGTTTGAAGATTTTATAGTTCAATTCTACTAAAAACGCCATTTAAATAGCCTTTGATCCCCCCGATAACGGAAAAGCACCTAAATAGACAAAAGGATTTAAACTTTTTTTGGAACGCATGTCTATTGTCAATAGCAAAAAATGATGCCAAAAAGTCCTAAAAAGAAATTTTGCGATATTATGTATTTTCATTAATGCGTAAATTGCGAACTTAGGCAGTCCATAAAATCCATATTTTCTCCGACTCACCTGAAGCATTTGGACCGGCTTTTGGTACAGAGTGTAGTAGTAGAGGTTGTTGGCCGACTGGTAAATCTTCATAGGTGACCGATATTGAGTAGTCTCCAATTTCCGATGGTGTAAACAGCACTCGAAATCCCGTTGGAGTCGATTCGATCAATGCTTCGACAACCCGTCCAGATGGGGCCGTAATTAGTATCCGTGTGTTCTCGCCGTCAGAGGTGAACACGTGCACCTCCTTCTCACAATTCACCGTCACAAGCGCTAGAAGGAAAGTAATTTTTTGAGGTTGAGGACGAGGTCGAGCACGAGCAATTGAGGATGAGCGTAAACAACACTCCATTCGATTTCCGGTTCACAAGGCTATTAATTATCGCAAATTTGACCAGAATATAAACTCCATGCTGAGTTATGGCCCGGACTTTTCAAGCCGATTTTTCGAGGCGGAGCATGAGCTTGTGCACCAACAATTGGACAAGGAGCTTGAGTTGCAAACCATGCCGACCTCCAATCGGTAAGTTTGAACAGATTGGCTGCATGCTGGCCACCGGAGGGACCGTCCGGTTCAAGCAGTTCGGACTTTTCGAGGTTGAGCACGAGACTGAGCATAAATAATTGAGAGGGTGTTTCGAGTCTCACTCCATGGAAACTTTGGAGTTCAAAAACCCCATCTCGTTTGGCTTAAGCATGAAGTTGAGCAGAGGCAGAAGCGGCATGTCCAGGCTGGCACATCATGCTCACTTCCGCTCAATCACGTCACGCATCATCATCATCACGCAATAGCCGCTATTCATACCATGCGCGCTCTCAACCACGTAGATTTTGGAGGTTGAGTTTAGAAACATATTAACAAAAATATCTAAAACCATTCTAGTGAGCGAAAACGCAAAATATACCACTGCAGCGTTAACAATATTAACACGATATCAACGACATTGTCAAACGGACAAAAATGACGAGTAATCGAACAGAAACATTTTGCTGTTGATAACTCCATGCGGATGAGCGAGGGGATGCTCAAAAAAACGTCGATACCCAGAATACATACCATTTTCCAGTCCCTCTACCCGAATTCCGGCTTTGTCGACGTGGGGTTTGACGTTGATCTCGATCGGAGGGCCGTCCACTCCGGCGAACACGACGTTTAGCTAAAAATAATGATAGGCTGACGGGCTACGCATTAATCAAAGATTCTGACTTTTTGGTGTCTTCCCGCGCCCGTTAAAACCTGGACACGTACTGTACCCGTATAAATTTTCGTTAACTACCGTAATCAGTACCGTAATCGGCTTTCACTTCCCAGTCCCTTAAAAAAATGACCGAGCTACCGTACCCCAATGGCTGGTTTGGCGCATTAATGGTAAGCGGCTATGGGTAACTGGTATCGAAAGCGGCCAATTGACACATACCTTCACTTCCCAGTCCGTTTAAAACTCCAATCCAATTACCGTACCTGATACGCTCCCGGCTTCGGTGCGGTGTACTTGACGGTGAAGGAGCCGTCCTGGTTGTCGAGTACGTCAATGTCCACCGCACGCCCGTTACGGTCGGCGAGGGCTACCTGAAAAGCTCGTTAAAGGTATCAGGATACTCTAATTGCTCAATTTAAAAATTTTGTTTTGTTCGTTAATTTCCGTACCTCAACAGCCCCAGGGCCGGCCTGCTTGGCGTCGATGGTGAAGTGGGTGGGCTGTTGGCTGTAGACGGGGCCTTCCACGCCGGGACCGTAGATTCGGAGCTTTGAGATGTCGATGAGGTCTTCAGGGGATTCTGGGGGTTGTTCCGGATCCTCGACCACGTCCACCTCGGCCGAGTCGCTGGCGATGCTCTCGCCCGTCGGGATGAAGGTGGTTGCGAGGGAAATCTGGAGAAGTAAGGGTTTTCGAGGGATTCCGTTTTTAGGAACGCAACGTAATTCATTTTTAGGACGACGCTACGCTCCAATTTACGGCGCGGTTGAAATTTCAAAAGCCTCGTCTCTCGAAAAAATCGCTGAAAATTCGGTACCTTGGCCGGGCCAACCCGTTGTGGGGTGTAGCGTCCGGTGTAGCTTGTAGTCGCCGGGATGCGGGTGAGCGTAAAGTGGACATCGCCGCCCTCCGCATCCACGATGGATACCTTCAATTGAAGATGAAAACGGCGAAAGCAATTAAAAAACGCGCGCCCCCCGTTACGGTATTTCACCAGTACGGTAAGACTCCAGATACCCCCCAGCCGGCACCCAACTTTTGTATCTCGGCTCCCTGTTCATCTACAGGTGTGTAAAGTATACCAAAATGTTCGTCTTGCTGTGACGAGTATTTTGGTATACTACAAACACCTGTAGATGAACAGGGAGCCGAGATACGGTAGGTGGGGTCGGCTGGGGGGGTTATCTGGAGTTTAGCCATTTTCTAAATATCCGCAAAAATGATCGATCCCTAAAGATTCCGGTTTTAAAATTTTCCAGAATCTATCGTGTCTTCTCGGTTCCTTTAGGCGCTCAAAGGATTAAAGAGCTATGAAATCCTTAATTCCGCCACGCACCTTTGGACGGTGTTCCTCAGTCGGCATGTAAACACGGAATTCTGCGGGTCTTCCCGCGATTACGGTAGGTTCGACTTGTTGAAGCTTGCCCTTTCGGAGCGGCGGTTTTACCTAAAAGTATTGAATTTTAATGCTTAAAGTTTTTAAAACCATCAGAAGTGTGTAATTTTTTTGAAACGGAATTGTTAGACCTTGAAAACCAGGGAAGCCTTCACAAAAATTCACCGACCACCAAATTAACCCCATTTTTTTGCAAAATAAGAAGTGACGGGTTACGGTATTGGTATTATTTCAGGTATAGGGAAGGATTTTGTTAGGTTTTGTGGGGGTAAAAACGGTGCATTTTCCATAGGGGGCACGGTACCTCGGCTTCAAGCGACGCCTTTTTGCGCTCTTTCAACTGCTGAAAAGGGGCGAGATTTCAAGTTTTGCAAGTACGCCATTACAGTCCGAATTCAACCTTAAAAATTTTAATATTCTTTTGCGGTATCCTAGAAAGTCGCAATTTCCGGAATTTCGGCCCGTTTTTATGTCGGCTGGATTCTCGCCAAAACTCGCTCGCCACCTTGACTTCCCGGTCCCTTTAAACCCAAAACCGCCAAACATTCAAACCTGCGGGAACTGCGCCAAGTACGTCATCACCGACTTCTCATCCACGTTCGGATTGATCAGTTCTTCGGGTGTAATTAGAGGTGCCACGCCCAGATCTTCCGAAGCGGCTTTCATAGCCCTTCTCGTGTTCTCGAGTGCCTCATCCGGTTCCCAGTGTCTCCAATCGGAGAGGGAATCCGGTGAGATACTATTCACGAGACTGCCCAAAGCAAGGCCGTCATTCCAATCATTTGTGAAATTTGTGACTGGCACATCTTCGGGGAGCTTCTTGCGGACCCAGGCGAGGAGACGCTGTTTGGGCGTCTTGTCAGGCTCGTGCTCGGGGCGTTCATCATCCTGGACATAGAACAAGTTTTCAGGATCAATCTTTCTCGCCCCTCACTCTCTCGCTCGCTCGCTCGCTCTCTCTCTCTCTCTCTCTCTCTCTCTCTCTCTCTTCATCTCTCACTCCCACGCTCTCGCGCTCTCTCTCTAGCTCACTCACAATCTCGATTCTCTCTCTCGTATTATGGCGTTCTCTCTCGCCCACTCTCTCTTCCTCGCACTGCCTCTGTTGCTCTCTTTACTTCCCGCTCTCTCTCTATCTCTCTCTCTCTCTCTCTCTCTCTCTCTCTCTCTCTCTCTCTCTCTCTCTCTCTCTCTCTCTCTCTAGCTCTATCTCTCTCCTCTCACCTCCATATGAATGGCAATAGAATAGTGTAAGATCAACGTCCAGATGAGCCCGAGGATCAGCTTCTTGTTTTGGTCAACGATATGCGAGGAATCTAAACAGACAAGTGGCTAAAAAATCGGTTTCTCCTCACCAATATTCACAATCTTGATTCCCTCATCTTTCTGCAAGAAATTGAGCGCCACCGAGACGTTCTCCAGCTTCTGGTGGCGGAATTTGACCTGAAAAGTGAGCGTGAGCTGAAGCTGATCTCTCTCCCTCTTTCCCTCTCTCTCTCGCTCTTGCCCCCTCTTACCTGGGCAGAATATCTTCCGACATGTCGTTGGGCGAGAACTTCAACGAGTTTGATCAGTTTCAGCCCGTCGGACAGGTCGGATTCCTGGAAAATCGGATAAAACTAGCAAAAATAAGAGCTGGTAGATTTAGTTTGAACGGATTGAAAGGATAATGTCTACCAGGTTACGGTAAAATCGAGAAATTTAGCCACAGTATGCCTAATGCTAGTTTTTGGGGGAGTTTTTCCGCTTTGCGCCTATATACGCTACCGTAATCCACTATGTGCTACACCTACTTACACAATACTACCGTAATTCCGGAACGTATCGTACCAAATTCTGTATCTGCTCCGGGACCTTCTTCAAGTGATTATTCACCCATCGCGTGAACGTATTCTGCTGGATGTTTTTCCATTCTGCATCCGGTTGCAGCGATGAGATCAGCTGAAACAAAGTGGATCTCTCTCTCTCCCTCTCTCTCTCTCTCTCTCTCTCTCTCTCTCTCTCTCTCTCTTGTTTCAAAACATTTTGCAGTAGCATTTCGGAGTCGAGCCCCAGCTAGGGTGCGCTTTCCAAAAATTCGCGATTGACTCGAATTTCGGCGGTCCGCTCCCGAGAACTCGAGGGAGGACAGCCGCGTTTTTGTGCTCGTTCTCTCTCCCTATCTCCCTCTCTCTCTCTCTCTCTCTCTCTCTCTCTCTCTCTTCCCAAAAAGCCAAAAGCCCTACGCGACAGTTTTTGATCTCGACGGCCTCCGGAAAAACGCGTGTCTTCCGGAAATGTTGCCAAGACTCTAGTTTTGTAGTAAAAAGCAGTGTCTTTTTTTAGATGCTAAACTGCTTCCGAGGATTCCCGAGGTCATAGATCAAGCTCTAAAACATTCCCAAAGAATCTGTGCTGGCCTACCTCACACTACGAGGGTCGTGATTTGAATATCGTAGGTCAAAGAAAAAGAAATAAAATCGCATACCGGTTCTGGTTCCCGCTCGTCCTTATCGTGAGTCATCGGGGCTTCTTCCCAACCCGGGATACCGCCGCCAACAACCAACGCACTTTGATCTGGCTCTGAAAATATGGTGGAATTAATAAAGGTATCTGGAGGTAGTGCCAGCGCATTAATGGAAGACCAACAAACATACGAATAATCAGAAAAAATCAGTGGCCGAACGCCAATATGTACAAGGATAAGTTTGGCAAAAAAACGAACTCTGACGTTTAAACTAATCAACAGAAGCTGAAGAAAAGCTCTTAAAGGGTAGGGAAAGGCGGAAATGTAGATTTTATTAGCTATGGGTTTTTTTTACGTATCTAGGCTTGCCTTGAAAAGTTTGACAGAATAGATAGGTAATAGCAACAAAATTGACGTAGCTCTCTAGACCTTGTCAACATAAGCGTTGGCTTCCAGCACCACCCGGTTTCTTTTAAAACTCCGCTTACGGAATCGTATCTTGCGAAAAGGGGAGTCTCTGCTACCGTAAGAAAACAATAGGAAAATCCGCGAAAAAATGGCGTCATTTGGTGTATGGAGGAAGTGAGTGTGATCATCGGGATCAATGGCCACAAAGGAGAGAGAGCAATGGGACGAGATGAGGATCGAAAGGAGGAAAAAGCTTGTTCGGACCCCCGACACAACGGACCAACCAGAAAAAAGACAGGTGCCCTGAGGGAGGGAGAGCGAGAGAGAGAGAGAGAGAGAGAGAGAGAGACAGAGAGAGAGAGATAGAGAGACATCGACAGCGAACCTGAAGAAGTGGAGGGTGCCTGGGGGCGAGAGAACGTGAACGTGAACGAGCAGGAGGCAGAGAGAGATAGAGAGATAGAAAGAGAGAGAGAGAGAGAGAGAGAGAGAGAGTGAATGACGGCCAGAGATGCAGAGCGAGAGAAATTGAGCGAGCTAGAGATAATGAGCATTACTCCCATTAATGAGCCTTTTCCAGCTGTCATGCTCCCTTTAAACCAAGATATTTAAGGTAATCTTGACGTTTTTCGGAAACGGTATCTAGAGCGAGACAGACAGAGAGAGAGAGAGAGAGAGAGAGAGAGAGAGAGAGAGAAAGAGAGAGAGTGATGTCGTGCTCATGACACTCGTGTCTAGGTTCTTCTCCTCCTCCCCTCTCCTCTGTCCTCCTCGAGACAGTTGCCGTGTTCCGCAACGATCCTCGAGACGGCACAATCAATGGAAAAGCCCATGGGGGATATCGGCGGCCAATGGATCGGTGAGTGGAAAGAGAGGTCGAGAAAAAGGGCTTCACCCCCCGTTGCCATCACCATCATCACAAGATGTCCCTAATGGCGTCCGAGGGGACCGAAATAGGGCTAGAGGTTTTAATTGTCCGGCTAAAATTAGCGCCTGGCACAGGTGTGGCTTAGGAAATGAGTGGAGTAGGTGAAAAAGTTGAGAAAGTCGATTTTGGGCCGATTTTCGAAATTTTTGGGGGGACCGGAAGGGTTGGTGCTGATTTTTATGGAGTAGAAATTTTTTGTGCACGTCCAGAAATGCCTAGTAGCGTGAAAATAAGTCTTTTAATTGTTTTTTAGTAAAATTTGGGAAAACCCCCCGAAAACCCCTAAAAAACTCAAACACTACTGTGGCTTTTTTCGTAAAAAAAAGATGTGTCGGGTGTTTTAATAACTTTTTGAAATTGAAATTTGAAATTAAATTTGGGTAAACGGTTACCTATCCAAGGCAAGGTAGCAGAAATCGCTTAGGAACAACTCAAGATATGCCAGATAATCCTAGGGATTGTAAATTGCTTTGAGAAAATTAGAGAAAAAAATCAGGATCCCAAGGATTTTTGGGATAAGACTAATCAGCAATATTTAAGATTAAAATTATAGATATTACAAGCATAACCAAATTTTCTCTTGACCCAGCCCTGAACTAGGTCAAGAAGGAGGGCGACGTTCAGAAGTCGCGGCCGCCAACCGGCGACAGAAGCAACCCGGACAATACGGCACAACGGCCATAAAGCTACCGAGCAAATAGGAGGCGAAAGAGAGAGAGAGAGAGAGAGAGAGAGAGAGAGAGAGAGCTAGGGAAAGAGAGCGAGAGAGACAGGCGACGGGCCAAAAGGCGATCATCCCCATCACGCTGCAGCAGATTGGGCGGAGGTGCCGTCGTCAGGACCGGGTCGGGCAAAAAATGACCAGAATGTGATTTTGATGGGTATTTTAAAGTTTTCATGGGCTTAAACGATTAGGCGAGACTCGCTATGTTTTCAGAAGATCAAATATGACCCATGAAAGGCTTGGAGCCCAGACAAACCAAAAAAACGCCGAGCAACTCGGCCGCAGGGCCCGCATGAATTTTCGAGCGGTTTTTTGGGGAGCATGAGCATTGAGAAGGGGGATATTGGTCTTTTAGAGCTTGGGCTTAGGCTTAGGCAAGGGCTTAGGTTTGGATTTTGAGGCTTAGGCTTGGTCTTGGTGTTGGGCTTAGGTTAGGCTTAAGCTTGGGCTTGGGTCTGGGCTTGTGCTTGGGCTTTGCGCATGCTTGGTTTAGCGTAGACATAGGCTCAGGGTTAGGCTTACGCTTGTTAGGCCTAAAGCTTAGCCTTAGGCTAGGGAGCTAGAAAAAGAAAAACTGCGTACGCACTGAACGTACGCAACGCTCCAAATAACGCCCAAAAACGGTGCGAAATGGACTATATTGGGCCGGTTGATTTTTGGAGGTTTGCGATAGAGAGAATGTTGATTCTGGAGGGGGACGGTGGAGAATCGAGAAGAGGAGGTGGCTGATTCATTCTTTCCTCTTTGAGGCGGGGAGAAAGATAGGGACAGAGAGAGAGAGAGAGAGAGTGAGAGAGAGAGAGAGAACAAGTCTCTATACCATGTATCGAAATGTCAAACCAAGAAAAAAATGTAAAAGCAGGCGGCGAAAAAGTGTTGTCATTTCGGGGCGTCTCAAAATATTCCGAGGCGCCGGGAGGAAACGAAAAAATCAGCAAAAAGCAGCCTCCTTCCGTGAAACAACAAGCGCTATTCGAGAGAGGAAAATGGAATAAAAATAGGAAATGAAAGGGGTACAGTCACTACCCCGAAAAGTCACTACCCCGAAAGTCACTACCCCGAAAGTCACTACCCCGAAAAGTCACTACCCCGAAAGTCACTACCCTGAAAGTCACTACCCCGCAAAGTCACTACCCCGAAAAGTCACTACCCCGGAAAGTCATTACCCCGAAAAGTCACTACCCCGAAAAGTCATTACCCCGAAAAGTCACTACCCCGAAATAATTTGGATGATTTTCATAGGAAAACCGCATGAAAACTGGATTTTTCCGGGAAAAACAATGCTATCATTTTTCGGGGTAGTGACTTTCGGGGTAGTGACTTTTCGGGGTAGTGACTTTTCGAGGTAATGACTTTTCGGGGTAGTGACTTTTCGGGGTAGTGACTTTCGGGGTAGTGACTTTCGGGGTAGTGACTTTTCGGACGCCGAAATGAAAAAACCATAAAAAAGCCAATTTCGAATTTTGTATTGCTTGAACTTTGATTTAAAATAGCTGGATCTGTGTATCAAATTTGCAGCTAAGCGGATTTGATTAAATAAGCTTCTATTGTATATGGAAAAATTTACGATTTTAAAGGTGCTGTGACAGCTAGAAGTGCCATAAATAGCGCTAAAACCAAGGTTTTTGAGTGCAAAAGTTCTTAAGAACCCGGCGGATTATGTAAATCTAAGAAAATCTATTCAGATCAACGTTAAAAAATGTTAATTTCTATTATTTTTGATTCGACAAAAATTTTAAGCAAAACTCGTATTAGTCGAGGGTTACGGAGAAAATTTAAATCGACGAAAAAACGCTTAGAAAAAAGGCTAAAATTTGCATAATTTAATGCGATAAGATAAAAAAGAAAAACCAAGTAGAGTTAGTCCAAAAAAACTAAGATTTTCGCACCAAAAACGACTTCCGGTGGCCGGCTGGCGGCTAGCTAGGGTCAGGTCTGCATGGCTGAAGGAAGGAACACGGGTAAGGAGTAGAGGGGGAAAGACGAAGAAGGGGTTCGGGATCGATTCGCCCCGGGGCGGCATTCCTTTACAGGCCTGCAAACACAGTCTCTATATCTCTCTCTCTCTCTCCCTCTCTCGCTCTGTCTCTCTCTCGCCCCCCGAATCCCGCGCACCCCCCTTTCCGACACCTCCAAATAATAAACATGTTCCGATCGGGGGGTCAGCTAGTACAGTGCTAGCGCCAACCGGCTATTTTGGGCGGGGAACGAGCCTCATTACCAGCTTACGCGCGTCATTTGCATAGGTGTAAACTGGAGTGTTGCGTACTGCTGTACTTTTGTAGGCGGTTAAAGGTATATGTCACGCTTCTGGATCCATGAATCTCCTAATACTCTGGCTAAACGTCAAGCCGCATGACTACTAGCCTAATTTGCATTCAAGAGTACAGTAATTAAATCTTGCTACGCTTTCCAGTGCATTTATGGAGCTCGCAAAACCTCCGATCAATGCCTTAACGTTGGAAAATAGCTATAAAATTGAGAAAATAAGACTTATTACCCAATTTGCGTAACCGATTACCGTAGCTTGAGCGTTACTGTGTTCTTCAATGTTTTTGAGAGTCTGTATGAATCACCAAATAACGCATTAAAGACAGAAAACTAACCAAAACTTTTAAAAAGTTACTGGACACCCGAATATTCTAATTCGAATGCGCTAAAATGCCAAAACATCGCTTTCCAGGCCCTTAAAAAAAGTTTCGAACGCTCGGATTTACAATCCAAATAAATCCGAATCGAGACTTTAATATATAAAATTTTACAAGTTTTCTAAGGACAGACGGAAGGTATAATTCGATGGTATAAAAAGAAAGTGAAGGCAAAATGAAACATTCCCATTAAGATGACCCATTTGATGAATATTGAGGGACCGGAAAGGACTGTTTACACCTAATGACACGCACTCCCTTTCACTCACTCTCTCCCCTCTCCATTGCATTCCAATTGACGCATCCGAAAACCCTAAAAATTACCCCTAGCAAGAGGAGATAAGGGAAATTTGGAAGAGGATCGCTGCTTACTCAACCCAAAGGAACAGCAAAAAAAGAAGCCGAAAAAAGGCGACAACTGACTGGGGTTGTGGCTTGGATCGATAAGTGGGACATTAAAGTGACCGAATAGACCATCTTAGATGCTATAAACATTATTAAATCCAGCTGGATAAAATACATGCTACAAACTACAAAAAATTTGCCGGAAAGTCCGGTCTCTAGCGACTTTAAAGGGACCTGAAAGGCAAGAGAGTGTGGATTCTGGGATAACATCTAGAATCCGAACTACAAACCCGAAAACCGATTGAGGGACGGCTTTTTTGCGATATTCTGAATTTTAGAAGAATAACACCGAATTACCGAATTACCGTTTCACACAAACCAAAAATCACATGCTACCATAACTCAGCCCCCAGAAAAAAAAGTTTTAAAGGAGCAGGCAACCTACCGTAACGCAGGAAGCAAAAAGTTGGCGTAGAAAAAGCGAGTTACGGAAAATTACAGTTGACAAGCTATCACCACGACCAATTACCGTAACCCTAACGCTGTCAGGTGAAGCTCAAAGGAAAATAGGTCCCAAGGCCATTTCTCAAAAATGACAACTACGATAAGCCCAAAAACAGAGATCCAGCCGGACAAGGTGAAGCCTTGCGGATCGGTGTGTTAGTGTCCTGAGAGGAGAAGGAGGCCATGTGGGCCCACCATCGGCTCGATAACTTGTGACTCGGCAAGCGGGGAAAAGCCGGGAACCTGAGACTCAACCTACGGACCTGGGGAGCAGCAGCTGTCTTTCTCTCTCTCGCTCTCTCTCTCACTCTCTCGCTCTCTCTTCATCCACCTTGAGGACACTTGTTCGTCGTTGCCTTCAAACATTGCCACACACAGACGATCATCCCCGGCCAAAAGGAGGGGCTCCGGTTCTGCTCCGTTTCCGGCCATTTTCAGGGTTGTTTCGAAACGGTGAGGCCATGGGACTTTTGAAGAAAGAACGGATCGGATCTCGCAACTTTTTGAGGGTTAGAGGGTGAGTGGGAGTTTTTAAAGGTACTTGGAAGCGAGAGACTACTCTACTGAGCTGGCCTACCGGCGAAACGGTCTAAAATTATGTGTGGTCTTTGGAAGGCCGTCAGCTTTATTTGGCTTGCTGCCAATATCTATAAGTTAGCTAGCTTGTGAGCTTCTTTAAGGGGAACGGAACTTATCGACCCCTACTGCTGACTAGACCTTGACAACTACGGGATGCCGCAAAAGACGGTGAAAAGTTCGTTCAGATTTTCGCTTCAATATGGTTTGTTATAGAGCGATGCAAGCACGCGTATGTTGGTGTGCCTCGTAGCAGTCTAGACCTAACCGGGGAACGGGGTCGATTCTCGCCGCTTCTTAGCTCCTTTAAACGGATGTTTTCTGGTACTTTTCCGGCCCATTACTATCGGATTATTATACTTTACTTACGATTATTATACGGAATTGCGGTTATAAATTTTCAAGGTATTTTTTAAGGGACTGGTCCGTCAAAGCAAAAACGTTAAATTGTTCTTGGTGGAACTACCGTACCCCTAGCTTCGAATTTTGTTGAACTATCCGATGCCAAGGGATTTCTGACAACGGTCTTTCGTCGTTATGAATCAGAACCGAAAAGGTTAGTGCAACGATGAACCTCAAAAGAGCGACGGAACATCTCTGCAGGAAGGGCAGGGCTCGCGGGGGTGGCAAAAAGGACGCCTGGGAAAGTTGCTGCTTCAAGGGGTTGGAGCACCGATATTTTTTGGGCCTTAAAATTGTGGGTTTTCAGACAAACTACGACTACAAGTTCTTAATAAAATCGGAATGTAGGGATATTCCAGCAAAAATAGTCACGGTTCCGGTCGAGGACAGGAATATTCGATGAATAACAGGAAAAAGAATCGCGCAAGGAATAGTCGCGGCAAAAAAGTGGCCAGCTGCATGTCCTTTACCCGCGTCATGCTCTCTCGTCATCATTTTCAAAAAAATCGGATTCAATAATAAAGAAAAACGGTTGATGAAATCATCACGTTGCGGCCGCTTTTTTTTAATTTTTTTTTCAGTTCATTTACATATTTCTCACCTGCTGAAATATTTGTAAAACCACGTTCACAGATGCGCCTTTTCAAGGGCTTTAAAATGCGAGCATACCCAGAAAATTATAGAATGTCGAGCAAATTGACAAAAAAAGGACCCGAAGGCTCGCGCCGATTGCATAATTACCGAGGTTCAACGCCTTTTGAACAAAGCCGCCAAGCTAGCGCTATCAAAAGTTCATCTACTGATCAATCTCTAGCATCTTATCTAGCAGATTCTAGTAACAATATACTTAATGGAAACTTACCTCCAAAATCACGATTTAAAAAGAGAAACTGAAAATGCCAGAAGTCAAAAACACTTCCCCTCAGCCATGAATCGAAAAATGTACTGGCTGGAATAGCTAGAAAAGCATGTTCATGTGTCCCCTCCATCGCCTCGCCCCCCTTCGAGAAGCCGATATTTTTGGGGCGGCAAGGGGTGAATCATGTGAAAACAAGGCATGACGGGATCGAAGAGAAGGGAAGGAGGGCCTTTTAGAAGGGCCGAATCGGGGGGAGACGATGGTGCTCAACATTTTCAACACGTCCATTTGAAGTGTATTGATCGATCGGATCATTGGGGAATTGTTGGCAATGGGAGCGATAGAGCGAGAGAGAGAGAGGGCGTGAGATAGAGCGAGAGAGAGAGAGAAATTATGGTTCAATTGACATAAAGGCTGTTTTCGTAACACATTGTTTGTTTTTAGATTTAAAGGAAACTCGTAAGCCCGAAAATCGACCCCTTCCCTCGACTAGGTCTCGACAGCTAAGCCCCCACGCCAAATATTGGCATTCCAATGCCGGTATTGGCCAAATACCGATTTGCGATTGGCGTGTTTTGACGATTTTGCACACGTCATTTGCAGCCGCGCGTAGCGGTCGAGAGCTAGTCGTCGAAAGCAGTCGATTTCGGCGCTTCAGAGTTCCTTTAAAAGCAACCGAAAGGCCAGATTTTGGCGAATGGCCAGATCTACGTGGGCCCTTATTCTGCGCAAAAATAAAAATATATTATGTTCGTCTAGAACTCCTCAACAGGGCGTGGAAAAGGAGCTGATGGTGCTGCAACTGCTGCCACACCCGCTTATCACCCCCATACACTTCCCTTTTTTCTTTGCCACATTCCCCTAAAGGGCTTAGCGCGGGAGGGCGGGCAGACGTATGGGAACGTCTTTTTCTCTCGTTTTCGGGTTTAAAGGGACTGGGAAGGAAGTTTTTTACTAAAATCAAATCGAAAGATGTGTTTTTAAGCGGTACGGTTGTCATTTTTCTTGCAAGCCGCTTTGAAAAAGCAATAAAAATTTGATTAGGCGAAGCTTATAAATTTCAACTAGCTGATTTTACTCAATAAAAACTCAATGAGCCAAAATTTTTACTCAAAATATTATTTTTGAATGATGTTTACTGTATACTTTCGGAAACGTACTTTTTTTCCTCCTCGAAGTCTCGAATCTAGCCTGGTTTTCAATTAAAAAGGGTCTTTTTAGCGTTTGGAACTTTGCCAAAACCCGAAGAATCATGTTTAAAAATTAAGCCGAGAAAACTCATGGCCATTGCTCTCTAATAGATTCAATTTGGCAAGCTGTAAAATTTTCCAGTTTCTAAGTCAAGGAAAACGATAAAAAAATGATAAAAGCTCCAAGTGCTTCCAACATTTTCCATCCCTTTTTGGGCGTTGCGCAATTCGGCAACCGCCCACCCACACATCAATCACTCACACTATCAAGTGAAATGACCTCGGGAAACGCGGGGGGAATCGATTTGTCAACACAGCACCTGATTACTCCCGCGAGGAGTTTTTGTTTTTCTTGAAGTTTTATGGCTTTAAAGTAATCTAAAAAACTACCACTGAAAGCTACAAAACATACTTTAATAAATATTAGATAGCATATTTAAGTTAACACGATTCTGAGCTGATGGCTTTTTTTCTAAATATGCTTATAGCTTTCTGAAACGATGGTATGTGATCTTTTCATTTGGTGAGATTTCGAAATTACCTTCATTTTACCTGATTCAGCCGATCTTACATCAATAAAAAGTGCTTTTTATTCTTTGAATTTTAATTATAAGTTTTTACTTATGAAAGATCTATAGATAACATGAAGAAACCAGCCTTCATTATCGACGCGTTCACCACGAAAAGATTCGCTGGGAATCAGGCGGCTGTTTGCTTGTTCGAAAAGGTACGTTACAATTCCGTATAGTACGGTAGATTGAAAGCGCTGTATCCTTCTATATTTCAGGAGCTCCCCGCCGGAGAATATCAACAAATCGCGTCCGAGTTCAACCTCTCCGAGACTGCCTATCCGGTCCCTTTAGAGGAGGGCAAGGATTTTAAGACTGGTAGATTTTTGATTGGCTCTAATTCCATTAATGCGCCGACCAAATTTTATTGATAGCGGCGGCATTGTTCGAAATTTTATTACTGAAGTTTGCCCCCATAATCTTAGTAATGCTCCCTTTAACGACTGGAACTCCAAATTCCAGGCTCCCTCTTCGGACTACGCTGGTTCACCCCAGCCACCGAGGTTCCTCTTTGCGGTCATGCTACCCTGGCTACTTCCCACGTCTTGCTGAATGAAATAGGTTCGTTCTTACGCTTTTAGCACTTCCGCTTCAGGAAATCAAAACCCCGCTCTAACCTTCCGTACCCTTTCCGGTGATCTGATCGTGAAGAAGGGAGATAATGGAGCGGTGGCTATGGATTTTCCGCAGTACGAGGTGAGTTTTAAAGGAACTGGAAAGCCCACTTTGGCCTTTTAAATTGTCGAAAAGGTAGATTTCACCAAACTAAACCATTACTTAGATCAGCAGCGTGCCGATCCAGGGATCTAACCGATTCGAGTCGGCTTTCCCGAAATTTGAAAAAGAATTCGATGTCGCGCAGTTGATCGAGGTAGGTTTCTCTCATCCCCTCTCTCTCTCTCTCTGATGCCCCCTCTCTCCTTCTCTCTCTCTCCCTCTCTACCTATCGCTCTCTATCTATCCCCAGCGCTATGCCTCTATTTCTTTCTATCGCCGTCTCTCTGTCTCTCCCTCTATCTCTCCATGACTTTCAGAAGCTCCTCCCCTCCGGCCTTACCCTTGCTGGAGTAGCCTATGCTCCTGCAGCCAAGAAGCTGATTGTCGTGTTGGATGGGTCTACGACTCGGTAAGAAAGAGCGAGAGAGAGAGAGAGAGAGAAAGAGAGAGAGAGCAGCGAGACGATGCTCGTCCTTTTAGCGCCGAGCTAGAAGCAATTCCCCGGACCAGCCCGCTGGTAGATGCTCATCCCAGTGGAGAATTTGTACGCGGTGTCATCGTTACATTGGCGCCAATTGATGCTGTGAAACAGGTAGTAGATGATCATATTCTCTCTCTCTCTCTCTCTCTCTCTCTCTCTCTCTCTCTCCCCGCCTATTTCTGATTGCTCTCGTCTAGGGCTACGCAGATGAACAAGGGACACCGTTCGACTACGTTTGTCGATATTTTGCGCCCTGGGTCGGTATTGTTGAGGATCCGGCGACAGGTATTTTTCTATTTTTTTAGTATGAATTTGTTTATTGATCATTATATAAGTATTATATTATCACTATTACATACAAATATTCAGGTCTTAAAAATGACTTTTTTAGGCTCGGCCCAATGTGCCCTGACCCCGTTCTGGAGTCGAATTCTGAAGAAGGACGAGTTTTACGGTAAGGGATTTTGGATGGTTAGAACCCAAAATAAAGCCAAAATATCGATTTTTCAGCCCTTCAAGCGTATCCGGGTCGCGGCGCCCAGTTCCGTCTAAAACTCGAAGACGGGGGAAGAGTGTCGATCATTGGGAATTCCGTTACTGTACTCAGCGGACAGATCGATACAGCTTAATTTTATTAGATTGATCCGTTCGATTTAATACGATGAATAAAGTTTTATATTGAATTTTGAAGCGAGTTTACTGCATTTTAAAGGTACACTAAAGTCTCGTTGGTTTGGTTGCCGGCCGGTAACCGTCCGCGGGATAGCAAACAGGGTTACGGTAGGCGCTCGCCGCGGAGCAAAACCGAACCCCGGGCCACTCGCCTACGGCAAGCGCTTTGGACCACTAGGTCATGGGAGAGACGGGACAGGGGAGGGGGCGAAGGGCTACGAAGGGTGCGGCCAAGCGGCGGCAAAGGAAGAAAATTGATGACGATGACGCGATTTTTTGAGCAAGATTTTAGTGTACCTTTAACATGAGACATTTCGGTATTTTCAAATTTTTTCAATTTGCTCTATTTTACGCAGTACAAAATTACGATATTATAATTTCAGCATCAGTAAATTTTATATTTCCATATCTCAGTTTTTTTTGCAGCGTTCCGACTTCCTGCCCGTTTTTTATCAGTATCAGGCGTTTTCCTGAGCTTTACCCGCCCAAGCTGATGAAATCGATTTTTTGGGAAACAGCTGAAGCTCAATCTTGATTTTTAATATTGTTTAATCCAATATTAATTTGCCAAATGCTTCAAATTCCTCTAATCAATTAAAATCAGTTTTTTAAAATTTTAGCTTTAGCTACGATGAAGAAACCAGCGTTTCTCGTCGACGCTTTCACCACAAAAATGTTCAAAGGAAATCCGGCGGGCGTTTGTCTTTTCGAGCAGGTACCTTCAAGTTCGCATATTAATTTTTGTTTGAAAATTATTTCCGCTAAACTACAGTCATCCCGACAGCCAGAATCAGACCGCCAGAATCCCGATCTGCTTTCGAGGATAGGTTGAATTCCGCTTTCGTTGTAACAGCTGTTTTGTCAGGTTTTTGGTTGACGAACTTTTGGTTGTCGGGATTTTAGCTTCCCGGTTTTCCGTTTTCGACATTTTGGTCATTTGGCCATTTCTCATTTCGCGAATTCAGGCGCTTCCCGCCGAGCAATGTATCCAAATCGCCGCCGAGTTCAACGCGTCCAACACCGGGTTTCCCGTTCCGGCCGAAGAGGGAAAGGATTTTAGAACAGGTGCGCTATAGAAAACAAAAGGTTACCGTTTTGTAGCTTCGATCTTCGATCTCCGCTGGTTCACCCCAACCACCGAAGTGCCGCTTTGCGGTCATGCTACGTTGGCTACATCTCATGTACTGCTGAACGGAATTGGTGAGCATTTTCGGTGATTTTAAAGGAAGCGCGCCAACAATTTCTCAAATTGTTAAGCTTACCAAAAGTTGTAATGATTCGGGGTTAGCGGGCGGAGCCCGCTAACCCTTTTTGGGTTGAGGTACCCCCCCACGCGGCTCTTTTTGGGTCCTTTTCCCGACTTCAGCGGCAACCATGCACCGGATCGTAAAACTAAATATACCACCGGAACCGGCCGGATTTTTTGCATAAGATCGGCTTTTCAAATTTTTAAAAAAGTTGATTTTCGAATTTTAAGAGCGGTTTTATTTTGTACTCAGAGGGGGGTCTGCGTTTGTCAGGATGTCTTTCCGTCCGCAAAACCTTTGTAGTCGTCGAAAAGTGCCTTCCCATGGACGGTTTTGGCTGAAATTTGCACAGGTATTGGCTTGATGCTAATCTCGGTGAGGAAGAAGCGTTTTTTTCAAAATAGGCCTCTAAAAAAATTTTATTAAACTTTGAAGTTCGAAATTTAAATTGCACCCAAAAGGTGGCTTGTCGAAGTCCGATTGCGCTGAAATTACTCATAGTGATGCCTTGGCCCTTGTTCTATCATTAACTGAAGAGATTATTGTAATATAAACCTTCTACTTTGAGATACGGCCGGATTACGTGAAAATCTGAGGTCGCAATACGGGGCGCCCTTCCTGTCTGGGCCTCTCCTTGCCCTCCCCACTAATAGACACCTATCTCGTCTCCCCCCCGCGCTAATTAACAGACCCTACTTGTTGCATTATTTTTATCAAACGTATTTGGTTTGGATAGGACGATTTTAGCACCGAGGATCTATCTTTTCGATAATCACTCCTCTGCTTCCTCAACTGGGCATCCCCCTTGCGACATGTATTCTTACCAAACTTCAGTTGAGTTGAAGCTACCGATTATAGCAACGATGATCAATCTTTTTCGTTGACCCCTAGCTTGCCCATAATGCACCCGAGCATTTGGAGGCATCATCGAAAATATTTCTACGCAGAATCAGCGCCACAGGCAAAAATATCCGAAGAATATATTTAGTCAGAAATTGTATTAAAACCACTATTTAAAGGTGCAGGAGGCTAAAAGGGGACAATTAATAAAAATCATAAGGGGCCTGGCAAACATGTACGGCAATTATTAGCGAACCCCTCGATATTCTTATGATTCAATCCATCATTTCCTATGTCAAGGTTTCGAATCAACTACTACTCCCCGAGTGGAAAGAGATGCAGCCTACAAAAAGGATGCATTAGCGCGGTTTAGAAGATTTCCGATCTGTCATATGTAGCCGATAAGTATTAAGTAGCAAGTGTATTTGCATTGCTTGTTCGATTCTAGATAGCTGTCAGACCCTTTTAGTCTTTTGCATAAAGATTAGTCGAGGTGGAGTGCGCCTGAATGCCGGCCATTAGTGCGCCCCAGAGTCGGGCTCGTGAGAGGTCAGGCTGATAATGATAACGACATCTGCCTTACGCGGGAATAATAAAAAAATATCCCCGTTCCCGAGGTCAATTAAAAAGCTGCTCTGCACGAAAGTGTATTATTATTGTAAGAACAGAGTTCAGTCAAAAAGGGCAAAATTCTCTTTAGCTAAAAAGAGATTCTTTAAAAAAATGGTTTTTGGGTTCGAAAAAAAGAGCGAGATTCTCTGATGCAGCAAAAAGCGTCAAATTCCCTAACCTCCGAAACATGAGAAAATTCGAAGGATCAACCAAAAATTGCTGGCACCCGGGAAACCCCGCTTAATTTTGACACTTTAATTGGTTTTTTATTTCAGCACGCCGAAATTTTCCTGTTCTAGTCCTAATCAAAAATAAAATCGAATATAACTGTCATCAATATGCTATTTTCAAGCACGTGGTTACCTCGTGATACGACGTGGTGACGAAGAACATCGAAAAGCGGCAAAAATACCAAATATTGGAAGTGAATGGCGTTGGAAACTGCGCTTTGAGCCTGTACCCGGCAATTTTTGGTTGATCCTTCGAATTTTCTCATGTTTCGGAGGTTAGGGAATTTGACGCTTTTTGCTGCATCAGAGAATCTCGCTCTTTTTTTCGAACCCAAAAACCCTTTTTTTAAAGAATCTCTTTTTAGCTAAAGAGATTTATGTTTTGATTTTAGCAGAAAAAAAATTAAATTTCCCGATTTAGGCAATATCAATTCGACCCTAACTTTCCGCACCTTTTCCGGGGAGCTGATCGTTCAAAAAGGAGAAGCCGGCGCGATCGAGATGAATTTTCCACAGTATAAGGTAAGAAAATTAGGTTTTTAGAGGGACTATCAAGTTCAAAAATGGACATTTTTTGAACCATTGGGCGTAGACAGCTACCCGACACTCCAATTGACAAGTAAAATCAGATCCTGGGGTCTTTAAACACAATATTACGCCAAAAATTCAATTATGCTTTTATCCGCCATTTGGAGCGTAGCGACGTTTTGTAGGTTAATTTTTGGTTTTTAGACCTCTAGAGCCATTTTTCAAGAGGGAGCGCCATGATATCCCTTTTCAGGTCCAAAGCATGAAAGTCGAACATCACGAAAACCAGTTTCTCGATGAATTTCCGGTCATCGAAGAGCCATTTCCGCTGAAAGACTTTCTAAACGTAAGTAGAAATTGACGACAACCTAAGAATTCTGATTTAGGCAATGATTCCGACGGAATACCCGATTACGGGCGTCTTATATGCACCTGTAGCAAAGATTCTGATCATTGTCCTTGACGGAATACTCTCTAGGTTTGCATCCAAAGTTTTTGCGGCCTTAGTCTTATAAAAGCTGATTTTCATACAACTGTAATGCTACAGTAGTAATTTTAGGGCGGAGTTCGAAAGAATCGAGCGGAACACGGAGCTGATCAAGGAGAATTCAGATGAGGAACATATTCGAGGCGTTCTTTTAACGATGGCACCGAAAAACGAGGTAGAACAGGTGAGATGGAGAGAGAGAAAGAGAGAGAGAGAGAGAGAGAGAGAGAGAGAGAGAGAGAGAGAGAGAGAGCGAGAGACAGAAGGACAGAGGGAAAGCGAAAGATAATCTTTTACTTTTAGGGTTTCGTAGATGAAAATGACGCTCCGTTCGACTATCTTTGCCGATATTTTGCCCCGTACTACGGTCTCGTTGAAGACCCGGCCACAGGTAATTGATTCTAATTACTTGATTAAATTTAGATTATGAAATCTGGGTTTTAGTCATCTTTCCTAAAAGTCATCTTTCCTAAAAGTCATTTTTCCTAAAAGTCATCTTTCCTAAAAGTCATCTTTCCTAAAAGTCATTTTTCCTAAAAGTCATCTTTCCTAAAAGTCATCTTTCCTAAAAGTCATCTTTCCTAAAAGTCATTTTTCCTAAAAGTCATCTTTCCTAAAAGTCATCTTTCCTAAAAGTCATCTTTCCTAAAGTCATCTTTCCTAAAGTCATCTTTCCTAAAAGTCATCTTTCCTAAAAGTCATCTTTCCTAAAAGTCATTTTTCCTAAAAATCATTATTTCTCAGTTGGTTTTTTTGCAAGAAAAATTTTTTTTTGGAGAGGCCCGGGCCGTAAAATTTTAATGTCTCCATGCCGTACTAGACCTTTTCGGGATGTTTTGATTTAAGTTATGCTATCTTTGAATTCATAAAACTATTCAGAAATCAAAAAATAGGAGAGGCTCCAATACGACTAAGAGCTTTTATGAGGACTGACGGCGTTCAAGGCATTTTGCCGTTTCTACACAGGAAGCAGGTTTCAAGTTAGGCGGAGGTGGCATCCCTATTCGCATACCTAACTTCAGGAAAAATTAATCTTCGAAAAAAATAGTTTTTAGAAAAAAGTGATTGAGGAAAAATAAAAATTTACGATTACCTAGTTTTAGGAAAAATGACTTTTAGGAAAGATGACTTTTAGGAAAAATGACTTTTAGGAAAGATGACTTTTAGGAATGATGACTTTTAGGAAAAATGACTTTTAGGAAAGATGACTTTTAGGAATGATGACTTTTAGGAAAAATGACTTTTAGGAATGATGACTTTTAGGAAAAATGACTTTTAGGAAAGATGACTTTTAGGAATGATGACTTTTAGGAAAAATGACTTTTAGGAAAGATGACTTTTAGGAATGATGACTTTTAGGAAAAATGACTTTTAGGAAAGATGACTTTTAGGAATGATGACTTTTAGGAAAAATGACTTTTAGGAAAGATGACTTTTAGGAATGATGACTTTTAGGAAAAATGACTTTTAGGAAAGATGACTTTTAGGAATGATGACTTTTAGGAAAAATGACTTTTAGGAAAGATGACTTTTAGGAAAGATGACTTTTAGGAAAGATGACTTTTAGGAAAAATGACTTTTAGGAAAGATGACTTTTAGGAAAGATGACTTTTAGGAATGATGACTTTTAGGAAAAATGACTTTTAGGAAAGATGACTTTTAGGAATGATGACTTTAGGAAAGATGACTTTTAGGAAAGATGACTTTTAGGAAAGATGACTTTTAGGAATGATGACTTTAGGAAAGATGACTTTTAGGAAAGATGACTTTTAGGAAAGATGACTTTTAGGAATGATGACTTTTAGGAAAAATGACTTTTAGGAAAGATGACTTTAGGAAAGATGACTTTAGGAAAGATGACTTTTAGGAAAGATGACTTTTAGGAAAGATGACTTTTAGGAATGATGACTTTTAGGAAAAATGACTTTTAGGAAAGATGACTTTAGGAAAGATGACTTTTAGGAAAGATGACTTTTGAAAGATGACTTTTGGAGATGACTTTTAGGAAAGATGACTTTTAGGAAAGATGACTTTAGGAAAGATGACTTTAGGAAAGATGACTTTTAGGAAAGATGACTTTTAGGAAAGATGACTTTTAGGAAAGATGACTTTAGGAAAGATGACTTTAGGAAAGATGACTTTTAGGAAAGATGACCGGGATTCATGAAATCTATATTTACAATAGTCATTTTTCGCTTCCGTCAGTTATTATTAGCCCCAAAAATTCCTATACCGAAAAATGCTGTATTTTAGGCTCAGCCCAATGCGCCCTGGCCCCGTTCTGGAGTCGAATTCTGAAGAAATCGGAATTTTACGGTAAGCAATTTTAAGAATACGGTAGCGTACAGTACCTGCCTTTTTAGAACCCAAAATAAAGCCAAAATATCGATTTTTCAGCCCTTCAAGCGTATCCGGGCCGCGGCGCCCAATTCCGTCTGAAACTCGAAGACGGAGGCAGACTGTCGATCATTGGGAATTCCGTTACTGTACTCAGCGGACAGATTAATATCGATTAATTCCGCAGATGAATAAAATAAATTACACACCTTGTAATTTCCCGAAAAACTCAGAAACTATGTCGTCGTAAAAGTGTTTTTTTCTAATTTTTCAAAATACGAAGTTCATTTTTTTGTTTTTGCTATTTGATGCATGTACAAATAAGCCAGAATTTATCGCAAATATACCGTATCCAACATAAAAATACAAAAGCAATAAAATGGAGTCAAAGTACGTGCCAAACCCGTAGTGGAAAAAGTGAGATGAGCCGACAATTCGGTGCCCTAATTCAAATGTACAACGCGAGAAATGCCTGTCTTTGCGAGAGAGAGAGAGAGAGAGAGAGAGAGCGAGTGAGAGAGTCAAAGAAAGAGACCGATTACAGTAAATTGGCTGTCGTCTTCGGCGAATTCGAATTCACTGTCTGCTTCTGGACGCGCGTCTCCGATTTGTGCATTAGAATCTGAAAAAATAGGATTGATACAAATGTCCTGTTTTAAGGCTAAAATGTGGTTAAATATTGTAATAATGCGATTAGAAGCGCAAAAAGTGTAAAAAAATGGTGTCTCTTGGTGCTTTTTCACTTACAAAACTTCCAGCTTTTAATGGCAAGTTTTCTGAAACAAAAGGATAGAAAGAGAGAGAGAGAGAGAGAGAGAGAGAGAGAGCGAGAGAGAGCGAGAGAGCGAGATATGGAGAGAAAGAGAGCGCTAGATACATACCTCGGTTGTCTCAAACTTCTGACGCCTTTTCTGCTCATCCCAGATGCCCTTTATGGCCGCTCGGAATTGGGGGTTGAACCTGAAAAAAAGTACTGTAATCGACCGATACCTATTTCGACCTAATTTTTTAATTTTGAACTTACCAGGAATAAATTAACGGGTTCCACACCGCCGACGTCATAGCGACTACGTGGCACAACGCGAAGACGGTCGAGAACCAGCCCTCACCACCTAAAAAATAAGGGAATTGAAGGGCAAGTTTTTTAGTAGATCTAGGGATCTGCTCTCTTTATCACTGTCTCTCTCTCTCTCTCTCTCTCTCTCTCTCTCTCCTCTCGCTTTCAACTCACCAAATTGAAAGAAGTCCCTGAGCAGATTCATTGCATTCAGCGGCATCCAGGCCAACACCAATCCCCCAACCATCGATATCATCATCCGATTCGCTCGAGATTTTCTCTTCTCCAGTTGTCCCTCTCGGTCTGGCAACAGCTTCTGGCCTCTCCTCTTTTCTAGCTGGCACGACATCACTCGGGAGATCATCCAGTAACACAGCTGAAAACGTATAAATTTAGAAAAATTGCGCCTTGAATGATATTGCTCTATCTCTGTCTCAGGGTATATCTCACCCTCCTTACGTCTCGCTCTCGTGTTCCAACGCATTTGGGTGCTCTCTCGCGTTCTCAGGCCCTTTAGCTTTCCCACGCTCTTTCCCCATGCTCTATGGCTTGCTCTCTTTCTTTCTCTCGCTCTCTCTCTCCCATCTCTCCCCCTCTCTCTATCGCTCTCTCTCGCTCTCGTTCGGTGTCTCTCTATCTCCCTCCAAAACCTACCGATGAAATCACAGTTGGGATCCCAAATTGCAACAACAGCACAGTGATCCCGTATAGTCTTCTGATAGATGAAAATCCATTCTGATCAGTGTCCGGCCATGTCTCTTCACAGAATTCTCCGCACAGGTCGTCGAAAGAGACGGTTTTTGAGAATAACCCGACTGGGAAGGCCAACAAATAGCCCCACACCCAGATGACGCATACGGTAGGGACGGCACGGGAGAAGCCGATTATCTGAAAAATTCAGAATTCTCGAAGCTCAATTCTCCCGCTTCCTAGTGCCTTTAAAATCATCCAGAAATTCTTACCTCCCGATTCGGCTTGACGATGAAAAAGCATCGATCGATTGCGATAGCTGTTAGGGTGAAGGAGGAGACAAAGATACTTCCACCCTAAAAACGATTGAATAGACCCCGGGCAGGGCAGGCTAGCAGATATTTTGAGGCTTTTGGTGCTATGAAACGATTTACTGACCTGCAGTACGCCAATGATTTTGCATAACAAGCTGGGAAGACCCAGACCCTGGTGATGATGACGACGGCCGTGATCGGCAGGGCTGTTAGACTGGAAAAAGATGGATGATATACGTCTCTCTTTGTCTCTATTCCTGTCTCTCTTTCTCTCTCTCTCTCTCTCTCTATCTCTCTCTACCTCGCTCTCTTTCTCTCTCTCTTTCTCTCACTCTCTCTCTCTCTCCACCAACCTCATCAGAAGATCCGAGACTGCGAGACACCCGAGAAACACTGATCGGACGGAGAGGGATACCTAAAAAATATTTGGAATTAAGGCACGCTTTCTTAAAAAAATACCACGGGTTAAGGTACCCTCCAAGGTATCTCTTACCTGCCTGAAGACGACAACGTATAACACGAGAGAATTTCCGACAATTGCTGCTACCCACACGATGGAGTATAAGACGGCGATTATAGCCTGTAATGGAATGGTAAGCTAGAGATGGAGAGAGAGAGCGAGAGCAGTGAGAGCGAGAGAATCAGAGTGAGAGAGGTTCACCTGTATAATTGGCAAATCGATGGCATCGGGAGAGTAGTGCTGGATGGTGGAGCAATTCCCCATCTCCACCACCTCCACATCTGCCATCCTGAAATTTACAAAAATAAAGTTAATATGCTGGATTTTATTAAAAAGGGAAAATAAGAAAAAAAAAACAATAAAACGATTCGCAAATTTTTCAAGCACATAGATTTTCACGGAAATTAAGAAAAGGACAGTAAAAAGTCGTGGAAAACCGCTCAGCATGACTTTTAAAGAGGCTTGGAACTGGCAAACTGCCAAAAAAAATGAGCACGAGCTTGGGATCAAGCTCAAAAAGTATAGATACATATCGAAGGTGGGGAAACAACTGAAAAGCCGACAATCTAAAACACATGTCCCGGTCTACCCAGTTAGGCTAGAAATTCTATCCCCCTCACCACGGTGATGACATCACGAAACAGGTGTGTAGAGAGAGGAGGAGTACGAAATGTGACTAATGACGCCCAGGGAAGGGTTGGTAATCAGAAAATGAAAATTACTTGGTTTAGGATGTTGTAGATTAATGAGGATGTAGATCTTTATTAGATTATGCGAGAGAGGGATGCGAGAGAGCGAGAGAGTGAGAGAGTGAGAGTGAGAGAGAAAGAGGGTGAGCGGCAGAGAGTGAGATAGAGCGAGAGATACGTGTCTTCTCCTATAGATTTATTTATCAATCGTGAAGGTAAGGTAAATAATTATTTTTCGCAAAAACTTCAGCCTCCAGGAATCTGAAAATAGCTTCTTTTCCAGGCATGGCTTGGGGCTTTGAAGTCCCCCAAACTGACAGGTGTTTCCGATAAAATACCGCATATATTTCGTCGGATCTCGTGAATGAAGGAGAAAGAGAGAGAGAGAGAGAGAGAGAGAGAGAGAGAGAGAGAGAGAAAGAGAGAGAGAAAGAGAGAGAGAGAGAGAAAGCAAGCGGAACTGGACATAGAGTGAAAGAACGATGTGAAAAATAAAAATACAAACAAAGATCAGCGTGGCAAAGAAACCAAGAATCTTTGCTAGCCTGCCTTCTAAAGACTAAAATCTAGCTAGGTTGTGGACGCCTAAAAACCCAAATTTGGAACGCGGTAAGCAGGGAGCTGGGGGAGAACGGGAAGAAGGCTCTACGGCACAAAGGACATCATTTAGTATTTAGGAAGGGGGATGCGAGGTGGCACAAGGAACTTCACGGAATTTTTGGTCTAAAATACTTTTGAAAAGAAAACAACTGTGATTTTTTATAAGAGACGTAGGGAGGGATAGAGAGAAAAAGAGAGAAAGAGAGAGAGAAAGAGAGAGAGGGAGAGAGATGGCAAGGAACTCGAGCTGCATCTCAAGTGATCTAAAACCTCTAACATTTGCTAACCCTAAAGTAACGCCAAATCGAGAGCGTGGATCACGCTATTGTTTGCCGAACGACTTCGAGGAGTGCAGGGGATGACTCAGGATTTGATCCCTCTCTCCCTTTCTCTCTCTATCTCTCTCCCGCTCTTCCTCTTTTGCCCAAAAAACGTTCCCTGCAAATACAGCTGTCAGGTATGCAGATCAAGGGGCAAAAAAATTGGGTGAAGCTGAAATTTCAGAATAACTTGTTGAAAAATTTCTGAAATTTCTGCATATTTAAAGCCATTATAAATGGTTTCAAAGTCCGTGGGCGGCGATAAATCGGGGGCTCGTGGCCGTAAATTTTAACAAGCTGGCTGCAGGTGGGGCGGATTTCTGGTCAGGTAAGCGCAAAAAAGTGGTAGTGAAGTGGGATTTAGGCGAGCGAGCGAGAGAGAGACAGACAAAGAGAGCAAGAGAGAGAGCGAAAGTGAGCGAGAGCTAGAGAGAAAACGATAGAAATGTCAACTTTTTCAGAGTCTAAAATGTTTATAGCTATTGGGATTGATATCTCGATCGCCTCTTCTCCTTCTAAGACATGCGTTGTGGGTGTCGAGCCCTCGTTAGGACCCACCACAACACCCCAGAAAGGCCCAACCCTTAAGGCCCTAAAACCCCCCAGAAAAACGACCGATGCACACGAGCAGTCTAGCCACCCCAAAAAGATGAGGTTTCGGGCCCACTTCCCGGTCTTTCGGTCAAGGGCAAGAGCAAGAGAGAGAAAAAGAGAGAGCGAGAGAGACAGAGAGAGAGAGAGAGAGAGAGAGAGATAGAGAGAGCTAGAGGGTGATAAATTTTGTCTCTTTGATAAAAATTTTTAATCGTGAACGGTTCGTCTATATTAGAACAGTTGAACCTTAAGCAAAAAAGCGGTTCCCTCCCCCCGTTAATACAAAAGCTCCGACATAACAAGCAAAATCCATAAAGATTCTTGGTAGCCATCCAGCGGGAAAATGGCGGAAATTGTTGATGCCCCCTCTCTCACATTGACTTGGAAATTATATATTAGCCGGTGGAGGAGGTGATTGGGGCGAGAGAGTGACATAGAGCGAGAGAGAGACAGAGAGATTTTAGCCAGAAAAGCAAGGTCAAGCTGTAATTATGAAGTAGTTGACGTTTCCGCCCAAGCGTTTTTGCGTCGACAGGAGTTGAGTGTAGCGTCCAAAAAATACAGCTAATTCCTAGGAATTTCGGTGAAAATGATAGGGGAGAGCTGTGTTCTGGAATTACAGTACACCCAGTTCCGAGCCCGTACGCTAGCTTCGAAACCAATACGAAAAATTTCAGTTAAAACAGAAAATGCTCTAGGTGGGTTCGCTGTTTAACGCTACGCAGCACTACGTTACGCTACCTTACGATATTGCACATTGCATTACGCTATCCTGTAGTGTAGCTGATATTACGTTACACCATGTTATGCTACTTCATGCTACGCTGGTGGAACGTTACGATACGTTCCGATACGCTACCCTACACTCCGGTCCATTATACGACGCTAGACCGCCATCTTCCAGTACGTTTCGAAACGCTCTGACTACGATATCCTTCCGGTATACTACGTAGCAGTACGTACTCTGTTTCATGCGACAGTAGGCTAGGCAACGCTACGACGTATTTCGCGCTCCAATACAAAACTATCGTATCTGCGGTTCGTTACGTGACGCTAAGGTACGCTATGATACCCCAGAAAGCGTTACAAGCGCTATGATGCGCTACAATACCTTACGAAGCCCGACGATATGCTACTACGTTACGCTGCAGTAAGTTAAGGGCAGTTAATGCCCCCACATCAACGTAAAAATTAAAAAATACTCGGCTTCCGGTGAAAAATGAATCACCTCCGAAATCGAAGCCGCCCACCTGAAGCCTCGACTCGCCGAAAAGCGGATGCAATTTACTATGTCACCCCGGGAAATCAGAGATCCTCACAATATTTGTCAGGGCCATAATATTTAGGCGGGGTTGGCTTCGGGGGCCACGTTTTAGGGAAAAGAGAAGCCCAAAAAATTGTAGTATTCCGGCTAGGAATCCCACGCACGGGTTTTTGGGTCATATGGAGGGACAGAGTTCACACGAATTAGTAATGGAAGAAAGAGAGAGAGAGAGAGAGAGAGAGAGAGAGAGTGTGTGAGAGAGAGAGTGAGAGAGAGGGTAAGAGAGAGGGGGAGGGTGAGAGCGAGAGTGAGACATCTAGTGAGAGCGAGAGAGTTAGAAACAAAATGAAATGGACAGAGACATATGGCGACGGAGAGAAACCGAGAAAGAGAGACATATAGTGAGAGAGCGAGCGAGGGAGAGAGAGGAGAATAATAATTTCCACGTTCTGCCCCTTGTTTTTGGCTATAGCCGCCAATTATAATCACTTTGGCCAGAAAAATGAGGGGAAAAATAGGCTATAGGTGCCTTGTGGAATTTTTTCATTTTAAAGGAACTCACAAGGCAATATTCAAACTTTAACTCAGGCAAAAAGCATTACAACAGTTCAGGATATACACAGGCTCCAGAACACAAATTCTATGCAAAATAGTACGTTCACAAGTTCCTATCGAAATTGGAATTCGAATGCTCATCGTGGCCCGTTTTTTAGCTTTTCGGGCCGTGCATTAATTTGCGTTACCCGCCAAGGCAGCACCGCCACAACCCAGAAGTTTGGCTAATTTGGAAGCATTTTTGGCGAGAGGGCTGGAGTAGTGGAGTTGGGCCCCCAGACGGCCAAAAATTAGAAAAGCTCTCGCTATTTCCGTTTTTTAGAGGCCAAGCTACTTTCAAAAATAGTTGACCGCAAGAAAGCACAATCTACTACGGTAAGAATCATAAAAAAAAACGAAAATTAAACTGTTGAAAATTGAATTTATGAAAAAGAAAAATGTCATAAATCCTACTATATATAAAAAAATAGTGTCTGTGTGTGTGTGTGTGTATGACACTTTGCATGCAACTTCCGTCAGCGTGTCCGGAGGATATCTCAAGAGGGAGGGGGTGTAAGGAGGTGTTTGATACGTCATTAGATGCGTAATGGGCTGTAGATGACTGCACACACATCAGATTTTGTAAAATATGTTGTTTTCGACATTAAAATTAAGTTTTTCTTAAAAATTCGGCCGCTCACTTTGCTAGGAGAAAATTAGCATACGCCGGAAGTTGCAGTAGCCTATATAAAGGCCCCAAGGGCTCATTTTTCTTTTTTTTTTGTCATCGGAATTGAGGCACAATTATGCAAAATAAAGAACCTCTTAGGATTAGACGGGGGCCAGGGTTGAAAAGTCGCGAAGCGGCTTTTCAACCCTGGTATAAATTAAAACGTATAAATAAAATCTTTTTCTATCGCGTTTATTCACTCGCTCTCTCTAGCCCTGTCTCTCTCTGCCTTTCTCTAACTCTCTCGCCCTCTCTCTCAGTTCCCGGAACCCCGAAATCCACGTCGCTCCACTTCGAGGGCTAAAATTGGTTAATCGGCAAACAAACCTTTGCGCTTTCGATTAGCCTCTCTCTTGCTCTCTCTCGCTCTCTTTTGTGTCTCTCTTCCCCGCTTTGCCTAGCTCTTAAATTACCAGGCGCAAGAGTTGAAGTGAAAAAAGAGGAAACCCTCAGAAGACTAGAGTCGCAGAACGGAATAAGAAGCGTCACATATTATGCATTTGCCGTTTATAGTATCCTCCAGCCTTTAAAGGTCCTGGAACATCGAAAGATCTATA